CTCCTTGCCACCCCCTGCATCCTGCACATGGTGTCAGACTCTGGGGTGTCTCGGTTAGTTTGATTGACCTCCTGTTTTCTTCTTCTTCCTCTTTATTGTAAGGCATAACTCAAGAGAGATTAGAGGAATACAGAAGGAAGCAGGAAATTGTGTAAGAACAGAAGATGTTAATAAAATCTTATTTGAAAAACATGTACAGTCTTTGGCTTGATTGCAAAGTGCTGGCATCTGCCGTGCATCAGATGATTTATTTCACTGAAGAAGCTGGCTTGAGGGAGTCGCAAAACTCCTTTCAAACCGTGGGGAGGAGATCATGAAGGCACTTCTGTTCTTACTAAATCTCCAACTTTGAACCAACATGGTTCTTGGCTTCCTCTCCACCTCCCACCTGCACACGCAGGCCCAGACGCCAGACGCTGGCCGCCTCTTCCTAGTCAAGGGTCTAGGGGTGACCCTGAGGGCCTGGGATTCCTGGTAATGTAACTCATGAGTGCCTGTTCTGTGGGCTCTGTTTTCAATCGAGGAACCAAGTCCACTGGTCTTTAGAAAAGGAAACTGCCGAGAAGGCATAGCAGCAACAGGACATACCACCACAATCCCGCCCCCATCCTGGGGAAGCACGCAGAAGGTCCCCGGGAAGAGTGATCTGTACTAGGGAGGCAGGCACAGGTCTACACGGCCAAGGGGCGGCTCCCTGGCCCGGAAGGCCTTTCCTGTCTTCATGAAGGCCTCAGGAACGCTCCCCCCTCCTCCCACCTTGCTGGACTCTGAGGGTCAGTGTCTCTGCGAAGTCGGTGGGCAGCACCACCTCTCTCTGCTGTGAAGGATCACAGTGCCTGAAGCTGCTGCTGCCCTCCGGAGGCTGCCTTTTCATCGTTGTCTGAGGGTCCTCGCTGCCTTCTTTACTCCACTCCTGGCGCTGGCTGCCCGCGGGACCTCGGGTGGATCTGCTGGTCACCTGGCCTTCCTCTCTCACAATCACTGCCCACCTGAAATCAGGAAAGAACGACCATAAGAGAAACTGAGGCAGTATGTGTTTACTGACCCACGGTGACCAGGTGGGGGACGTGACGGCTCAGCGACGGCGCCGGCACAAGGGCAGATCGCTGCTGATATGCCCACTCAGTTATGGCTCTGCAACTATGGGCCCGCCGACTCTTCCATTTCCTCAGCCAGCCGCAGTCTTCACGTAGAGCTGAGTTTCAGTCCTACCTCAGGCGCTCGCTAGCTGTGTGATGCTGGGTAGGTCATGGAACCTCTCTGGGCCTCAGGTTCTTCATCTGTAAAATGGGGATACTCATAGTACCTTCCTCGCAGGGTTGTGGTGAGGATCGAATTGAGTTAACATAGGTAATGCTTGTACAAGCCTTGAAGGGCTCTGCAGCCTTTTGCTAGCTAGCTCTCCTCCTCCTCCTCTTCCTCTTTCTCCTCCTCCTCCTCCTCCTCCTCCTCCTTCCTTCTCTTCTTCTTCCTCCTCTTCCTCCTCCTCCTCCTTCTCCTTGTTCTTGTTCTTCTTCTTCTCCTTGTTCTCCTGTTCTTCTTCTTCTTCTTCTCCTTGTTCTTCTTCTCCTTCTTCTCCTTGTTCTTCTTCTTCTTCTTCTTTTTCTTCTTCTTCTTTCTTCTTCCTCCTCCTCCTCCTCCTCCTCTTTCTCCTCCTCCTCCTCTCCTTCTTCTTCTTCTTCTTCTTCTTCTTCTTCTTCTTCTTCTTCTTCTTCTCCTTGTTCTTCTTCTTCTTCTTCTTCTTCCTTCTTCTTCCTCCTCCTTCTTCTCCTTTTCCTTCTCCTCCTGCTTTTTCTTTCTGTTGTTGTTGTTACCAGCCCCTTAGTTGCTCATGCCCAGAAGTGGGCTCACCAAGCCTTCTATATTGGAATGGAAGCAGACATGGACTATTTGAACTCTGCATAGCTGACCAGGATGGGCTCTAAGAACTAATACTTCATTGGATGGTCCCCACCCCCATTACAAAAGTTTTTCTTTGGAAGTATTAGTCATCCCGATTGACCAATCAATTCCTTCCATTTAGCGAGGTTCTAGAGGTATAAACTGTTGGATGATCTGTGTCTTCGTTTATATGCATCTTTGGTTCTTCCTTGGGCTGGAATTGAGAGAGAGGATAGCATGAGACTTGAGGTGTTGATTAGCCTCCTGTTTAATTTCAGGCAGCTAGGTGGCCCAGTGAATAGAGTCTCAGGCCTGGAGTCACGAAGACTCATCTTCATGAGTTCAAATCCAGCCTCAGACACTTGCTAGCTGTGTGACCCTGGGCAAGTCACTTGACCCTGTTGGCCTCAGCTCTTCCTCTGTAAAAAGAGCTGGAGAAGGAAATGGCCAACCACTGCAGTATCTTCACCAAGAAAACTCCAAATGGAGTCATAAAGAGTCAGACATAACTGAAAAACAGCAAACTTATTTTATTTTGGCCAGAGGCTGTACTTGAAAGGAACCTGGAATAGGTGTGACGGAGCACCAGCTGAGGGTCTGTCTCAAAGTGATGTGGGAAAAAGGGGTGGACCATCACTACACCAGGGCCAGTTTTTAAAACAGTACACACGTCACTACAATGACTTTTTAAAATTACTCTGAGGAAATATATATACATATGTATGTATGTGTGTGTGTATGTATGTGTGCATGTGTATGTGTGTGTACGTGTGTGTGTGTGTGTGTGTGTCTGTGTTTTGACTCACAGGCTGCACGAAAAGGAAAGAACATGGCGCATGCAATCAGAAGACCAGAAGTCCCGCCTCCCACACTGGGGCTCCTGGCCTGAGGTCTGTGGGATTCTCTTTCAGTCACCCAACCTCCTGAGGCCTCAGTTTCCTCATCTGTGAAATGATAGGGAGTGACCATTCGGCCTCTGAGCCCCTTCCGGTTCTAGATCTATGCTTCTACTATGTTTGACCTTGGGTGAGTCACTTAGGCTCCTCTGTAAAATGAGGGGGCTAGGATAACCTGGCGCCTCCACCAGCTAATCTTGGTAGGATGAAAAACTATCCTCAGACAGCCTTCTTTTTCCCATAGCTTACGGGTTCTTCCTTGTTTACCTGCTGTCTCTCCCATTAGAATGGAAGGTCCTTGAGGGTAGAAACTATTTTTGCCTTTCTTTGTATCCTCACAGAGTAAATGCCTAATAAATGCGTATTGACTGACCAAGTGACTGGACTCTGAGGTTGTTTGCATCTCTAGATAGATCTTGTCTTGATGGGATAAGAAATCTGCTGGGAAACGTTAGAGACAGAGAACATGAGAAACAGCTTCCGGTGAAGTTTAACTCTAGATTTCTAACTTTCGGCTTCAAAAATGGATTTTTTCCCACTTTGTGCCCTGGAGTAAAGGACAGGATTGACTAATTGTACACACAGTTTGGCTGGGTCAGTCAGTTCTTCTGAGCTTGGGTTTCCTTGGGGGCCCTAAATCTGCCCTTATTGTAAGCAGTCAGCCTGGCCTTCCCTTCCAGAACCAGGCCTGCCACAGCTCCCCCTTAGAATACGAGGGTACCCTCCAGCATCAGGAATCTGTTCTCATTTGCGTTGGGCTCAAGCCCCTGCCAGCTGTGACCCTTCCCTGGACCCATTTATCCACTTAACATTCCTTGGTTTTTACAAAGCAATATTTCCTTGAAAGCTCCAGCAAGGACAAAGGGATAAACATGTCCCCAGACGCCTCTGGGCAAAGTCTCCCCTGAACCACCTCTGTCTGGGGGAGTTGACTCCAAATGTAACTCATTATGCTGCAGAGCACCCTGCCAGGTTCACGTCCAGATGTGGCCTTTCTGCTGGGTTAGGGATTTCAAAAGTCAATCCTAAAGATTGCTTCTGGGGACATCGATGTTGCCCTGGCTACAAAAACCGGCCTGGAACTCCCAGGGCCAAGGTACCCTGAGGACCCCTGTCAACTCATAAGGTTGTGAGGTGCCACTCCGTCTCCCTATAACAGAAGCAGGTGAACCAGAAGGCCAAGGATTGAGGGCCCAGTCCTGGGGGTGGGGGGAACATGGCATCAGCCTGCAAGAAGGCCCTATGGCCATCGCCCTTGACTCCATGGTCTCTCCCTGAATGCCCTAAGTAGGAGTTGCTGCGCCCCCCCAGACACAAATGAAACAAAGATTAAGTACAGAAAGCCAAGTGGCCTTTTGGAGGATGCTCACAGTTCTTCCTAGAGTCTAAAAAGGTTCTCCCCAGTGAGCCAGTTGGAGCCCCTTAGACAAGGTCCAGCCATGCCACATTCGCCTTGTGTGTCCTTGTGATTCTACCACGAGAAAGCTCCCTGGTGCCTTCCGTGGGCAGTGATGGCATCAGATCAGCCCATCAAGCTCATGGGGCTTGAATGCACCAGAGTCCCATTAGGCTATGAAACACCTGGGACCCCTTACTTACTACGTGAGAGAACCGAGGCCCAGGGTGTGTATAAAATGGCCAGCTTCAAAGTCCCACAATTAGTCATGGGCCTAGAGGTGAGCCCTGACCCCTGCCTCAGGGCTGCTGTCCACCTCACTTGAAGATGGCCCAACTTCCCTTCCAGGATTGTGGCTCCCCACAGGAATCCTGCTCCTCTCCACCCCCCACTAAATCTGAATTCAATTGTCTGCTTGTCTAAAATGGCTGGCAGGTGTCTGAGCTCCACCATCAGCATACTAATTAGCAGCTGCTTTCTAAATCCTTATTTAAAGCCATTGTCTCATTCTGTGAACGGTGGGGAGGAGGGGGTCTTAGAATCTGTCAGACTTGGGGCTGCCTCCATTGCACGGAAATCACAGGCTATGGTCCATCAAATAGTCAATAAACCAACAAGCATTTATTGAGTCTATTTATTTATTAAGTTGCTAATTATTGCTAATAATATTGCAAAATATTATTATTTAGCATTTATTATATGTTAGCAATATAGATATTGCTAAATGTTATTATTTAGCATTTATTAAGCCTACCAATGCCTGGCCTAGCCTGTTCAAATGGGTTCTTGTACTAAGGAATTTGGGCCTTTTTTTTTTTCCTCTTTAGGGTCAGTTCGTCTTCGAGGTGGGAAAAATGAATTTGAAGGGACTGTGGAAGTGTATTCCAGAGGAGTCTGGGGAACAGTCTGTAGCAGTGATTGGGATGATGGTGACGCAGCTGTCATCTGTCGTCAGCTGAATTTTGGGTGAGATTCCTGGTTAATTTAATTCCAAAAACTTTATATTCCTCCTGTGTGCCAAGCAGTGGGCAAGGCAAAGGCAGTAATGAAATAGGCCTTGCTCTCAAGGCTTTAGATTTGATTGGGGGGGGGAAGAGGGGGAGAGAGAGAGGAGGGAGAGAGAGAGGAGGGAGAGAGAGAGGGGGGAGAGAGAGAGGAGAGAGAGGGGGGAGAAAGAGAGAGGGGAGACAGAGGGGAGAGAGAGAGAGAGAGAGAGAGAGAGAGAGAGAGAGAGAGAGAGAGAGAGAGAGAGAGAGAGAGAGAGAGAGAGAGAGAGAGGAGGGAGAGAGAGGGGGAGGAGAAAGAGAGAGGAGGGAGAGAGAGGAGGGAGAGAGAGGAGGGGGGAGAGAGAGGGAAGAGAGAAAGAGACACACACACACACACACACACACACACACACACACACACACACACATGCAGAGGGGGATCGGGAAAGACCTTGTGTGATTTAGTAAGAGGCTGGAAGGTACAGAGAATCAGAAAGACTTGGGTTCAAATCCTGCCTTTGAAACTTCTTAGTTATGTGACCATGGGCAAGTCTGGGCCTCAGTTTCCTCATTCATAACATGAAGAGGTTGGACTTGATGACTTCTAAAGTCCCTTCCAGCTGTATGATCCCAAGGTAAACCTAGAGGATTCTTTTGGTGTGGAAAATTAAAATCTAGCCTTCCCATTGCCCATCCTTAAACACCACCTCTAAATAGAAAAGACCCAGAGACAAGCACACCTGAGATAACATGGGTTGTGCTAAGCTGGTCGATGCAGCAGGTGCTAGGAACTGAGCGATACAAGGCCTGCTCTGGCCTTTAGAAGAAAAAGTGCATTTTTCAGGACTTGGAAGCTTGTGCTTCTTCTACTACTCACTATCCCACACCATCCTGAGGCCAGTTTTTGTGTGTAACCTTCTTCCACTGCATATAAAATATTTGAAACCAGGAGACTGGTCCCTGTGTCTGTCCCACAAACGAGGTAGGTAGAAGTCCATGGCAAGGTCTCCTGAGTGTCCCTTGGGTGTGGTCCAGGCCTCCATCAATATTCCCCCCCCCCCAGTTAATCAGTTCACCTGCCTGGCCCTCAGTTTCCTCATCTGCAAGAAAAGGGGAATGGGATACCCTGGTGCCCCCACCTGGTAATGCCTTCACCTCTCAGATTGCTTTCCATGTGTTCTGTATATAGCCGGCACGTACCTATCATTGACCGTTGTTTCTCCCCTTGGCTGCAAGCTTCTTGGGGGCACAGGCTGGTTTTGCATCTCTCTGTTCATGTGTAGTAAATTCATAATAAGTGCTCCTTGACTGACAGACTGGACTCTGAGGCCTTTGGCCCTCTAGATGTAAAATCCAGTGAAGTCTTCAGATTTCTGCTGACAACCATGTGAAAGACTGGGATGAGAAACAGATCTTTTCAGTGACGTCTAACTCCGGATCATTAACTTTTGACCTCAAGAATAGATTTCTAATTATGCTTTGTGACCAGTCGGCTCAGGGGAGCAGGGACAGGGTTAATGAAGTGCAAGCCAAATTAGCACATAGACGCTTCCCCTTGGAATGACTGCCCAGGAAAGAGGAGGCAGTGAGGGCAGACCCTTTTAGTCAGTCACGGCTGAGATGCTTCCCAGATGGTTCTTGCCAATTGCCGGGTGTGTGTGGACAAGTGACAATTGATGCTCACCTAGGAAAGCAGACTTACTCCCTTACTTCCTGAGAAAATCCCCCTGGCCTGGTCAATGCCAGGCGTTCCTTTATGTGGCCCATGAAGAACCTGGATTTGGAGTCTGGGGGAGCTGGTTCCTCTCCTGTGTTGAACCAGTTCCACATCCACCACATAGTTGGCGCCCATCCCCAGAACCACAGAATGTGGGAATCGGAAGGAACCTAAGGAGCTGTCTGGTCCAACCCATGCACAAAAGACATTTCCACTGTAATGTACCCGGCAAGTGGTCGCTGGCTTCTGCTTAAAGGCCTCCAAGGAGCCCTAGCTCCACTCTCTTATGGCCGCCATTTTAGCTTGGGCCTTCATCCCTGAAATCAACCCAGTGCTTGTCCACACTCCCTTCCTTGTCTAGATGTATTGGCCCACACTGTCCTCCTTCCTGGCATGTGTTTCCTTGGCACCTCGGCCTCTCAGAATCCTGATCTTCCTTCAAGGCTCTGTTCCTGCTGCTCCTTCACCAGTTACTAAGGTTCTCCCTCTAACTTATAATCCAAAGAGAAGAATGCCTGGTCACGCGGCAAAGAGGAGTGATGGCCAGTGGACTGCTCATGGGCTCCGATAGTATCTTCATGATGTCAGCAGAAAGTGAGGAAGGCCTCTGCGCACTGGGTCATTTCATCCTGACCCCACCCCAACCAGTGAATGTAATACAGGAGTATGTGGACAAGTGTCGCCCAAGATGGGTTGAGATCATAGTTTACATGAGCATAGATCTAGATCTAGAAGTGACCACCTGGTCAGGCCCCCTTATTTTATAGATGGGTAGATTGAGGCTCTAGAAGTTTGAGAGAAGATCCATGTCAATGAGATCTGAGTGCTTGCCTGTATACCCCAGGGAGAATGTAAGTCCCTTGAGGGCAGAGATTGTTGTGTTTTTGTGTGAATTCTTAGTGGTCATTGCTCTTTATTCAGTATGACCTTGGGCCAGTCTCTGCATCTTCTCTGACCTTCTCCAGTTTCCTTTGGTGTAAAATGAGGGGATTCAGCTACGTGACCTCTAAAGTTTCTTCCAAATGCATAAATGAGATGTGTATACATGATTTCCTTTTAAAAAACTCATCTCTGCAGGAAAAAATAGTCTTATGAATTGAGTCATGAAAGAAAGAAGAGCAGAATACTGAGACTGAACTGGAGAGTTTTAGAGAAGAGAAGGAACATGGCATGGTGGGTAGGGCACAGGCCTTAGAGTTAGAGAGGTCTAGGTTCAAATCCTGCCTTAGATACTTAGGAATTGAGTGACTCAGGGCAAGTCACTGAACCCCTCTGTGAGCCTTGGTTATGAGGAGCATGGTAATGGCTTGGAGTGGGTTGTTTTTAATCATTTAGAAAAACCATGACATTCCCAGAGTTCAGTCAGATTGCTCCAGCCATCCCTCAGCATGCCATCCCTTTCCTCTCTTCGTTCACCTTGGGCCCACCTTGGGCTCACCTTGGGCTCACCCACCTTTGTTGCTGCCATAATGGATAGTCATGGCACCTGTTGCAAGACCTTAACTATGTCACTGGATCTGCCGGCAGGACCCAGAGTGGCATCATTCTGGGTGGATGCCTGTTAGAATAAGTATTTAGAGTACTTCATATCAGTCTGGATTCATCCAAAGCAACTTCTTTAAAATCTGTGAATTAGATGACATGAGTCGGGATCCATCTGGATCCAGTTCTTGGGTCATCAGCTTCCCATTCTTCCTGGGCAATGCTCATTATTTTCTTCAGGAGCCGATCATCTCAGATCATTTATTTAACTTTTAGCTTTGATAGTAATTGTATATGCAAATTCTCCCCAAAATGGAACCACGGAAAGGACATTGGAAATGTGGCGTTCCAAGGCTCCATTATATTCCTGTAGTCATGGAATGTGGGAGGATGCTGGAGTGGAAAGGATGTTTAACTTTGATTCAGAACAAGTAGGTTCAGATCCACACTGAGGACCAGGTGTGTGCCCACGGAGGCTTGTGTAACATGCTTGAGCCTCATCTGTACATTGGGGGTGCTAATACTTACAGGGTTGTCAGGACAGCTGTTTCAGTCCTAGCTAAATGTGAGGGATTATTATAAACTCTTTCACACCCTGTAATGGCCCCAGGATCAGAAGACTATAAATTTAGAGCAGGCAGGGCCTTTAGACACCATCTAGTCCAACACTCTTGATTTCCAGAGGAGGAAACTGAAGCCCAGAGGGGTTAAGTTATTTATTCCATGTAGCATGGCTGGAAAAGAATTTAGAGATCACGTGATATACACCCACTTATTTTACTGATGAAGAAATGGAGGCCCAAAGAGATTGTCATAGTTAGTGACAGAAATAAAACCAGAGGTTTCAACAAGAGCTGGTATGGTGTAATGGGCGCTGCTCATAAAGTCAAGACAAATCTTAGCTCAGATGCACGCCAGCTGTGTGACCCTGGGCAAGTCACCTAGCTGTTCTGGGCCTCTGTTCTTCAGCTATCAAATGAGGTCCTTGGACCAGATGGTCTCCACTGTCCCTTGTGGCCCTAAATCCACGAGCATTCTGCCATGCCTTTTCTCTCATACAATTCTGTTCACCTGCTCCTGAAACGATGCAGTTGGCACCGTGTATGAAGCCATCCATTTCTATCATCTCCCTCCTAGGGAAAAGGCTTTGCCAATGCTACTGCCCATTCCCATCATTTCTTTGTTAGGACAAGGACACTCATCTTTGTTGGGGGCCAGGTGAGGCCAGTGCCCAACAGTCCATAGCTTCAGGAAAGGGCTGCTTGGGAGCAGATATGAAACCACCCGTGTGAGAAGTTGGCCTCTCTGTCACTAAGTCAGTCAACAACCATTTATTAAACACCTACTATGTGCCAGGCACTGGTACCGAGTGCTGTGGATACAAAGAAAGGCCTGAGGCAGTTCCTGCCTTCTGGGAGCTCACAGTCTAATGTTTTCTTCACCCCATGACACAAGATGGGACATTGAACAAGCAGTGGCACGGGGGAGTAGGAGCTAACATGGCATCATGCAAGGAGGGCCGGCTAGGAAGACCTAGGTTCCAAACGGCCTCTGCCGCAGCTGTGGAACTGACTCGCCTTTCAGAGTCCTTGGCTACTCTGTAAGCTAACGACGGCAGAAGAAATTCCCTATGCCAGTGAAATCACAGGGGCGGTAAAAGAAAAACGAAACTTGATTATATAAAACAAGCATTGAAAAAGCACCGCTATGTGCCAGCTGCTCAAGAAACAAAGCCAAAGGCCAAACAGTTCCTGCCCTCAGGGAGCTTATACTCCAACAGAGGAAACAGCATGTGTGTGTGTGTGTGTGTGTGTGTGTGTGTGTGTGTGTGTACGTACGTACAAGATACACAAAGCAGAGAACAGGGAATGGCAGGGAGGGGCAGTGGTCATCAGCCAGAAGCTGGTGCTTGAGCTGAATCACAAAAGAAGCTGGAGACTTAGGGCTGCAGAGTCAAGGAGGGAGGGCATTGCAGGAGGAGGGGACAGGCGGTGTGAAGGCAGGGAGACAGAAGATGAGATGACGTGTGGGACAGTCACCAAGAAGGCCATTTTGTCCGGACCAGGGAAGGGAGAGGAAGAACTTTCACTACGAGGCAGAGCAGTTTCTATTGGATTGTAGAGGTAATACATAGGGAGCCATTGGGGACTATTGAGGAGGAGGGTGATGTGGGCAGAGAACCACGGCTTACTTCTGTCTTTTAATTAGGGGCTGTTGGCAAGGGTCCCTTTCTGCCCCCAAATTGAAGAGCTAGTTATTTTAAAAGGTCTGCAAAAATTAAAAGTCTTGCAGAACTAGTGAAAAGAATGAAGTTATTGTGGCTCGTTTGCCCAAGCTTTGATCTGACATCTTAATTTCCTTGAAAGCTCTCCCCCTTTCCTTCCTTCTCCTGTTCCCAAACCCACACGCGCAGAAGCTTATTTATTTCATAACTTAACTGTGGTTTTCTCCCTCCCAGGGCAAAAGGGACAGCCAAACAGACCCCAATGTCTGACCTGGGCCTCATTCCCGTTCACTGGAGCAGCACCCACTGCCGGGGGGATGAAGACAACATTCTGCTTTGTGAACGAGACACCGTGGGGCCCCCAGGGACGTGTCCACAGAAGATGGCAGCTGCAGTCTTCTGCAGCTTTTACCAGGGTACCCCCAAATAACCAAGCGCTCCCTTCTTTCAATTTTAGCATCTTTTCAGCACAGGGAAACAGCCAGGTTTGGCATCAGGAGGATACTTCCCAGAGAGGATATCACCAGCAAATCACCCAACCTCTCTGAGACTCAGTTTGCTCAGCTATAAAATGGGAATGAGAATACCTTTAGCAAATAACTCATGGGTTGTGAGGTTTAAATGAGATAATATATGTAGAGTGCTGCATGAACCTTAAAATGAGATGCACATGTATATATGCATAATATAATATTTTATACATTATATATAATTTACAATTGCTAATATATAATTATGTATAACAACCACTGAAATGTATATTATATATGCATATAGACATATATAATAATAGCTGAAATGTATGTGTGCATATATACATATATAACAATAGCTGAAATGTATATTATATATGCACATCTACATAATATACATTTCAGCTATTGTTATAATCACAAATGAGCAGATCTGCCTTGCTTCTTTTCTTAGAAGTGTCACTTTAAATGCAGTATAATTTTTAAATATCAGAATTTGTAGTCTTCTGAAATCTTCCCCATAATGAGTATAGCTAAGAGTTCAATCACAATTTCCTTGGTTTTTATATACTTATTTTCTGAATTTTCCATTATCAACAGAATGAAAAAAAATGATAGGCAGTCTTCCCTTTGGCAGCCTGGTGTCATGGGAAGAGCATTGGATTTGGAATTCACAGACCTGGATTTAGATCCTAGCTCTGCACTGACTTCCCATATGAATTGAGGCAGGTCACATCCCCCCTCTCATCTTTAGTTTCTTCTACTATAAAACGAGGGATTTGGACTTGCTAGTGTCCAAGGTGCTTACGAGTCCTAAATCCTGTAAGCCTTGACCCTTCAACCCCCACATCCCATCAGCTGCCAGTGCCTTACCAGTCTGTATTTATAACATCCCTGACAACAATCTCCCCCCACCCCATGACTTCGGGTCCTCATCTCCTCCTGCCTAATCAACAGAACGTTCCTCACTGGTCTTCTTGACTCCATTCTCTTTCCTCTCCAAACCTCTTTTCATATAGCTCCCAAAATGATCTTGTTAAAACATAGCTTTAATACCTTTACTTGGCCGATCTACAGTCTTTTAAGTAGGCATTGGTCAGTAAGATAAAATGCAGACTCTTTAGCATGGTCTTGAAAGCCCATTTACGTTGAGGCTCAGACCAAAATTTCCTATTTATTTCACAGTATTCCTATTCACATGCTCTCTGTTCCAGACAAACACTATAAGTAGCCAGTTCCATGTTGACTTCTGTTGATTCCTTGAATATATACAGGAGGTCTCTTGGACCTGGACCATACTCCTTTCTCATTTCAACCTGAGGAACTTTTTCTTCCTCTTCAAAACCTAGGTCAAGTCCCACTTCTCCAAGCAGCCTTTCCTGATCCATTCCCAAATCCAGAAGTAATCATCAATTTCTCACACCTTTGCATATCTTAAACCCACCCCTGTAATAATAACTAATATTTGTATGGCAGATTAAGATTTACTGAGCACTGTAATCTTATTTGATGCTTACAACCCTTTGGCATAGGTACTATAGATATTATTGTCCCTGTTTTACAGATGGGGAAACTGTGGCTCAGAGAGATAAAGTGGGTGGGCATCAGATGGGCAGGCCTGACTGTGCCTGGGCCTGATGCCCTTCAGCTCTCAGTAACACTTGTCAAACCCGGGTTGTTCCAGGATTAGTCTTTTGGAGCTCAAGATTGCCTCATCCTGGGGTGAAGCATTGGAGGAAGATCTTAGGGGAGAAGGCAAATATAGTCCAGGAGTTCAAGGCTTTAATTAAAATAATTGGTAGGAAGACCCACTTGAGATCTCAGTTGGCTTAGATTTGGGAAACCCAGATGACATACAGTGTCTCCTGAAAGTCTTAATGCAATTTAACCTACGGAAGCACAGGACTGAGACTTTTGGGATACCTTGCATTTCTAAATGTTTTATTATCTTTTACAATAATTACATTTCTGATTAAAATTTTTTAATATTGCTTCAGTCAATAAATGAAACATGACTAGCATTGAAGTCTAAACTACATTTAGCGATTATTAGATTTGTTATTCTCTTCTATGCTTTTAAGAAGTATCATGTGCATGATTTCTACCAACCTGTTATAATTTATTGGAATGACTCATTATGTTATTGCTGGCAATGTAGCCTAGGTCTCAGGAATCCTAAGTCAACAAAAATGTATTGCTTGTCTCTAAGTGCTAGGCACTGTGTGAGGTGTCAGGAATCCATATCCAAAGAACTAGCCATCCCTACTCTCAAGCAGTAGTGTTGTCCACACAGCAGGAACATTTGTCACTACATACAGAATAAATGTGAAGAGAAGAGATACTCATGAATACAGTATGGTTGGGGGCACTGGCACTGGGTGCACAAGGAAGGGCCTCACGTCAATGGTGGTGCTTGAACCACGTGTAGAAGGAAAAGAGGGTCTCTGTGGCAGAGGCAAAGAAGGAGGGGGATGTCCCTGGGACACCCAGATTGAAAGGTCCGGTGGGCAGTTGCAATTGGTGGTGCAGGACTGACGTTTGAGGGAGCTGTTAGGGCTAGATATTCAGATCTGGGAGTCATCTACATAAGGATAATGATTCAGCCTACGGAAGTTGTTGAGGTTACCAATCCATCAATCCATAACTTTAATTTTCTCAGTGAAATTAAGAGGTGAGGTCCTCAGCTGAGAGAAAGAGAGACATGAGACACTTGAAACAGGAAGAAAACATTTAGAATAGCTCTTGTGGGAAGTGAGATAGGGAGTCAATTAGGGGACTATGAAAGGACTACCGTGGTCAAGTGAGGGCCCAATTAAAGATGGGTGACATGAATTTATAATGTACTTCATCCCCACTGTTCAGTGACTTCCTCCAGCTCCATTCAGTAGCCCACGAGGAGGAGGAGGAGGAGAGGCCAAAGGTGGGAGCAGGCTAGGGCTGAAGTCTGGCAAAGAATAAGAGGCAGTGGGACAGGAGTGCTGGAAAGTCCTGGGTTCAAGTCCCACCCGCATCTGGTGACCCAGCTTTCCCTTCTCTGTCTTTGGACCCACAGCTCCTGCCTGGACACCCGTGCGGCTCGTTGGCGGACGCGGCATCCACGAGGGCCGAGTGGAACTCTACCACGCGGGGCAGTGGGGCACGGTGTGCGATGACCAGTGGGACGATGCGGATGCCGAAGTGGTCTGCCGCCAGCTTGGCCTGAGGTTTGGCTCGCTGCTTTACTTCCTTCTTTGTTCGTCTGTTTGTAGCCTTGGGGACCAAAATCCAAGGGCCCTCCTTTTCCAGTCATGCTGCTGAAAGACCAGACAGACACCGACCTGTGAAATCATCTGGTCCAACCCATTGCACAGAGGAGGAAACTGAGGCCAAGGAAAGGATCATGACTTGCCCAAGGCCACACAAGGAGCACACAGCATGTGAGGGACCTGACCCCCGCCCTTCTGCCCCCATCACCTCCTTGTTCCTTGTGGCGCACTCACTGGCCCCTGGATGGCACGAAGGGACAGTTTTCTGCTTCTGTGTCTCTCCCGTGATCCGGCCAATCAGTGTTTCCCTGGGCCCTGACACTCACCAGGCCGCCTTCCCATCTGTGCCTTTGCCCTGACTCACCCTGGAGTCGGCTCACTTCATACGTACATCTCATAGAGGGCCCCTCCCTTCCTTCAAGACAGAGCCCTAGCACGGCTGTCTGCTCCTGGAAGCCTTCCCTGGTGCCCCGTTGCTAGCGTGGCCCCTGAAGACGAGCTGGCTTTGGATAGCATTTCCGTGTCTTTGTATTTATTCTCTTGAAATGTATTCTGTATATACCACGTACTCCTTGGCTGCACCGTTAGAATGTAGATTTTTTTCTCAGTAGGGATTACTTTATGCTCTGTACTTGGACCCCCAGGACTCAGAACAGCGACTGAATCGCTGTAGGTGTTTAATGAATGCGTTTTGATTGATGACTTTCCAGACTGGCTGTTCCCAACAGCCTTTCCTCCACCCTGCATCCTTTGTCAGGAGTCACCCAGCTGTCTCTATGGCTCTCTAGTTTCTCAGGTCCTTTGACCTCTTGTTTCTCTAAACTTGCTTCCATAATTCTTTTTTCTTAATTTCACTATAACATTAAGAATGAACATATTTAACATATAAATGTCTTTCGATTATTCCCAACAGATGGAATTACTCTGAATTCACAGGTGACTTGGGTGCATAAGGGATATTTATTTATTTCATCTCCCACAGTCATTGAAATATTCATTTTTACCTTTTTATCCTAAATATTATATGAGAATATTGTCTCCAGGGAGCCTCTTGTCCATTGGAAGGAAGCAGTGAAAAGAACTTTAAGATATTCAGCTGTCTTAACAGCCCAATTGTGTAGAATAGCAAATGGTGAGAATCCTTTGGGTTGTGAAAATCTTTGCCAAGGGGATAGGGACCGACCTGTGATGTCAGTGGGGAAGGGGATTCCCTCTCTCCTGATGCAGGGCAGCATCTCCTCTCCCTCTTGGAACCTCCAAGAGCTCTCTAGACCCCTGAGAAGGCTGGGGACTTGCCCAGGGTCTCAGCGCTAGTGTGTCCTAGGTGGGACTGGTGAGGTCAGCTCTGTACCCACTATTCCTCTGTTTGCTAAGAACCTGATTGTTTTCTCATTCATCAATCATCCCACAGCATTTATTAAGTACCTACTGGGCACCAAGACTGTGCTAGGGTATGCAGAGATGAAAGTAAAACAACCCCTAAGACTCACCAGACTAGGTGGGGAATTATGTGTGTACATGAGTCTGCAAAGAGATGCCAGGTAACTAGGTGGGGGAAGGAAGGCACAAGCACCTGGGAGGAGGAGAAATGCTAAAAATAAATGAATAAATTGAAAAAAATACTGTTAAAAACACCCCAATGCTCTCATTTATTTTTTTAATTTTTTCCCCAATTTTATTAATTTATTGATTTACCAACAATCACTTCCATATGCTTTTGAGTTGAAAATTTTCCTCCCCCTTCCTCCACCCACCCTCCCCAAGACGGTGCACAATCTGATACAGGCTTTACATTTACATTCCTATTAAACATATTTTCACATTAGTGAAGTTGTAAGTAAAAATTAAAACCAATAGGAGGAACCATCAGAAAGATGAAACAAAACTCAACAGAAGGTAAAAACAAGTGGGAGCGATTTGACTTTCATAGTTCTTTCTTTGGATGTGGACAGCATTTTCCAACCCAAGGCCTCTGGAGATGTCTTAGATCCTCGTAATGCTGAGAAGGGTTCAGTTTAACGATATTAGTCATCGTATAACGTGGCTGTTATTGTGTACAAAGTCCTCTTGGTTCTGCTCACTTCACTCAGCATCAGACCATATAAGTCTTCCCAGGTTTTTCTGAAGTCAGCCTGTTCATCATTTCTTATAGCACAATAGTATTCCATTATATTCGTATACCACAACTTGCTCAGCCATTCCCCAGTGGATGGGCATCCTCTCAATTTCCAATTCTTTGCCACCACAAAAAGAGCTGCTATGAATATTTTTGTGCATGTGGGTCCTTTTCCCATTTGTTTGATCTCTTTGGGATATAGCCCTAGAAGTGCTATTGCTGGATCAAAGGGTATGCACATTTTTGTAGCCCTTTGGGCATAGTTCCAAATTGTTCTTCAAAATGGTTGGATCATTTCACAACTCCACCAACAATGCATTAGCGTTCCAATTTTCCCACATCCTCTCCAACACTGATCATTTTCCTGTTTTGTCATGTTGGCCAATCTGATAGGTGTGATGTGGTACCTCAGAATTGTTTTGATTTGCATTTCTCTAATCAATAACGGTTTAGAGCATTTTTTCATGTGAATATAGATGGCTTTAATTTCTTCATCTGAGAACTGTCTGTTCTTATCCTTTGACCATTTATCAATTGGGGAATGGCTTGACCCAATACTCTCATTTAAAAAGCATCATTAGCCACCCTTGCCATAAGGACTCAGACATGGGCCCTGACCGCCATTCCCTTCTCTTCTGGGCCTCCTCACAACAACCTTAAGAAGCAGTTGCTATCATTGTTCCCATTTTACAAATGAGGAAATTAAGGCTGAGAAGGGTTAAATGACTCTCCAGGGTTACGTGGCTCATTAGGTATCTGAAACAGGAATTGGAGTCAGGTCTTCCAGACTCTGAGTCTTTACTGTATCCACCACAGCACCTAGCTGCCCCATGGATTACTCGGACAGGCCTGTTAGGAGGCTATTTGGGAACAAACCCGTTACCTTTTACAGAGAGCAGCCACGGCCTTCCTCCGCATGTCCATCAGTGTCTCCGACAAAAACACCGTTGCCTGGGCAGGTGCCTGGGTCACACTGGTGGTGATTGATTGTTTTGTTTTTCGCTTGGTTTAGCGGGGTTGCCAAAGCGTGGTCCCGGGCCCACTTTGGACAAGGATCTGGCTCCGTCATGTTGGATGAAGTACGGTGCACCGGAAACGAGCTTTCCCTTGAGCAGTGTCCCAAGAGCTCCTGGCAACAACACAACTGTGACCACCGGGAGGATGCGGGGGTCTCGTGCACCCCTCTGACAGGTACGCGGGCCGGCAGCTTCACCCCTCGGTGCCACCCGTTCTTCCCACCCCCACATCAGCCCGGGGGGAAAACACAGCCTCCTAGAATCCGTGCACGAAGGCAGCTTGGATTAGCCTGAGGCTCTGAGTCTGTCTTCTGGCCGTGCAGATGGCTGCTGTTTTAGTTCAGAGGAAGTTGTTTCACTTTTGTCTTTGTGTTGAACACGGTGCCCTGCACACAGTAGGCCCTTAGTATTGACTTACCAAACTGAATGTGATTGAGGGACATATTGTTACTTTGTTGCACGTTCAACAAGCAGCAGCAAAGAGCAGAACTGATGATCACAGTTAATGATGTTCATTCATCCGCTCCCTTGTGCTGTCCAAGGAGGATCTCAGAACTTCCAGCAGGACTTGACCTTCAGAGAAATGGCCATGCCAAGGCCGGTAGGAGTCTGGTTGCCACGCTCACTGGGTAGCAGAGCTGATGACAGATGGCGCCACACTCACTGACCGCCTTAGCTCCTGGGTGTTCAGCTATCACCTCTATCGTGATCATTCCCAGACCTCCCTATTTCCGGTCTCTCTCCTGGGCTCCTGCCTATGGGACATCACAAACCACATGCCCCAGACACATCTCAGACTCAGTGGGTCAAAGGCAGAGTGCTCCCTCTTCCTCCAAGTCTGCCTCTCTTCCAGACTTGCCCTACGTCTGTCAAGGGCACCGCCATCATTCCACTCCCTCCAGTTGGCCATCTCACTGTTCTAACTTTCCAGTCTTATTTCCCCTGGTTCCTCTTCACTCAAGCTATGTTTCAGTCGAACCACCCTATTCCTGGACAAGCTATTTCTAGCCTCATAGCTCCCAGCCAGGCTGTGTCCGTGCCTGGAATGTACTCCCTCCTCACGGGCACTTCTCAGAATAATTGTCTTCCTTCGAGGCTTAGCTCAGGCGTCCCCTTCTACTTGAATGCTTCTCTCAGTCACCAGTACTCTGTCCACCACTATTTTCCTTGTAGAATGCTTTCCAGAACTGAGAACTAGACAGAGACCTGGCCCATTTGTATGAAGTGATGCTCACTAGGTTAGGGAGAATAATAGAATTCTTTCCTCCACACACTCAAGGAAGAGATGACCCTTTAACTCTGAAGACAGAAAAGAATAACAATGGTGCAGGACAACTAGGTTCATGCCTGGGCCCTTGTTTCCCTACTCAGTCAGAGGGTCTGGGAGCACTGAGAACATTTTGATAGAGAGACAAGGGATAGTCCAGAGACTTCTGTCACCAGTCAGGCAAGAAGCAACGAGTGTCTCTTGGTGAGACTAAGATAAGGTGGTGCCTCTTTCTCATCTGAACACTTTTATTAATAGAAAAGGGCAGAAAGTGAACCGTTGTAAACAGAGAAAAGACAATCTCCCAGAGTAAAGCTGGCCACAGTGTATGGTTTCCCAGCATCTAACTTACACACGAATGATAAGAAAACTTTAGAGATGGGAGCTGGGTAATCTTGTTACCTAGAACTTATTGGGAACTGTAGAGAAATTGTATATTGCCTAGTTGTGGTTGAGCTGATGGAAAAGTGGATTTTGGTTTCTCACCATAAGATTGAAGTGAGTCATTTCACACAAGAAACCCTGCTTTAGAGCAGTAGGCTTGGTCGAGACAAGACCTTTGAGGGTCAAGACTAGACCTTTGAATAGATGTAAGAAGAGTCCTCAGCCCTGGGCCACAGCAAGACCTAAGATCTCACACTGTCAGCTACTGTTTGGGAAACCTGATGGGAGGAGAAGCTTTGCTGCTGGGCGGAGCTGATTGGAGAAGGATCTCTCTTTGCCTTTTCCTGCAATGCCTGAGAAGAGAAAACCCTTCAGAATCCAGCCAAGGGAGTAGACCTGGAAGAGTGCTAGTCTTCTGGCTAAGAGTTCTGCTATACTGAGTCTAGTCCTGGCTCAGCAGGGCCAAAGGGGAGTGTTCAGGGGCAGCTAGCAGAGCAGGGCAGAGAGGCTCAGCAAAGGAGTGTCCCTGCACATCAGACACCAAGGCTCGAGCCATCTAGAGCAGTGCGTCCTTCCAGGAACACGTGGTCCCTACTCATGTCCCTGCGTGCTGGGGTTTTCTAAGTTTATATGTACTTTCCCCCATGGATACTGTGTACATTGGTGAAAGAGTTTTTCCCTAAGTTCATTGGTGGAATGTCATGCTTTGATTATTCTTGTTTTGTAAACTTAGTTCAGTAAATGTTTGGAATTAGTGTTGTCATCTTGGACGATTTGTTAAATGGAAAGCTTTCCAGTGGGGGCTCGAAAGCCATAATTGCTAGTAAAAAATACGTAGTTCTTCAACACAAGAGTCACCTCCTGAAGCCCAAAGGTGAGTTGTAGTGGTGTGGCCACCCCTCCTGCAAACTCCCGATTTGTCAGTGTGAGTACAGGATAGCTGAGGCAACCAGTCTAGAGAGTGGGGCGGGGTCACATTCTAGGTCTCACACCCATGCCATGCTCACACTGCACTAGCTGGGGTTCCCCTTGCACTCTTCTGGGAAAAGAGAGTCACTCTGTTTTTATCTTCCTTCATCTATTTCCTACTTTTCTCTATCCCAAAAGGACAAAGGGTAGAGAAAGGGAAGAGAGAGAAGGTCCAACCAGCAACTCGCAATATATGCAATTTCTCCATAGTCCCCAAACAGTTTCTAGGTGTTAGGATTATCCAGCTACCATTTCTAAAATTCTCATATCACTTGTATCTCATTCTATCTGCAGAATAAGCATGTTAACTATCATTTCTTTAAGTGATAGTTTGGGTTCCTTGGTACGTGTTTGAAATTGAATGGAAAGCAGACAGTGCACCCCTCATAGAGACGGGAGGTCCATCCATAGCTTTGCATAGTGCATGTTTTTGGACTTTTTCAAAGTATTGATGTGTAATGTTTATTTTTTTCCCTCTTTTTTTTTGTCTTTAAAAATACTATATGTTATATGGGATGGTTCTGGGAGGGTGAGGGAGAAGGATACTGTGGAAAACTATACTGATATAAAAAAGCTCACAGAAGACATCCATAAAAACTTTTTTTTAGAAGGAAATAGCTAGCAAGTGTGCTATACTGGGAAACTGGAAAGAAGGAAGGAAGGACAACCTGGTAAGAGAAGGAGGTCTAAATTATCGGGGCTTTGTAAACCAGATTTGAATTCTGCCAGTGAAAACTAGCTGTGGTTTTGGAGCTACATGCTTAATAGAGATGAGAACTTATTACTTAGTTTTTAATGATTGTTGAGAAGAGGAAGGAGAATCGCTGTGATGGTGCCTCTAGCAGATCTGAGCTGGTACAGGCAAGGAGGTGGGAAAGTGTGGACCCAGGCAGCCATTTTTCTTCTTTCTCCCTGAAGGGCCGTGTGCAATGAATTTCACCACACCAGAGGGGAAATGAGTTCCCACGGCCTTGAGACCTGGGCCCAGGCCCAGCATGTTTGATAGCCAGGCCTTCCTTGCTTGCCAGTGCCACCTAATGGTTATCTGTGAACTATATTTATGCTTGTACACATCGTATCCCACCAGAAGAATCCCACCTTGAGGGCTGACATTGTTCTCATCATGTCTTCACGTACCCGGTGACTACAAGTTGTGGGGTACCTGAGGTCTAAAGGTTTAAAATTTAGGCTCACCCAAAGGATGACAGAAACACATGCTGGGCTTGGGGGAGCTATGATACGTTGCCAGCCAAGAACGTTTAAAGGACGTCTTCAGAGAGATGTAAGATTGGAAGAGGAGATGGGTTTGTGATGTAGAGAAATCCGAGAATACCCAATGGACACCTCCCACACCTACACACACCCAACCTTCCAGGATATGGAAGTGCTCAAGATGAGACAACATGGATAGGCTATAGTCTGCATCCCTGGAGGGATTGCCAACATTGATGAGGTCACAGATAGACCAAAGTATGAAGGATACCGGATGCCTCGGTGGCACAGTGTCTTCTGCACGCTTAATATTTGCTGACTTGAATGAAGTTTACCTTAGGATGTTGTTAGAGTTTTAGTCATTCCTTCTAAAGTGTTTCTTCTGCCCAAGATTATTACAAGTGCCACTGAGGGTTCTTTCTATTTGGGCAGAATTTGTGCAGCACGCTCTTCTGCAAGATTGCAGACGTCTTCATTTTTGTCCTTGTGTTTCCAGTCCCTGGCTTTTGTAGCTTCTTGAAAGATCAGTCTTTGTCACTTAAATTGTTGGACTCATTTGGTATATTCTTCTGGCTCTGGTTATTTTACTTTGCATTAGTTCGTATGGATTTTCCCATATTTCTCTGAATTGCTCATTGATTTTGTTTTTGTTTTTGTTTTTTGCTTTTTGCTTTTTGGTGAAGCAATCAAGGTTAAGGGACTTGCCCAGGATCACACAGCTAGTAAGTGTCAAATGTCTGAGGCTGGATTTGAACTCAGGTTCTCCTGATTCCAAAGCCAGAGCTCTATCCACTGTGCCAACTAGCTGCCCCTTATTGATTATTTTTGCTGCATAGTTATATCCAATTACATTCGTATATTACTTTTTTAAAAGCCATTTCCAAGCTGATGAACAGCATATTTTTTTTTCATTTCTTTGTTACTACAGATGTTGTTAGGAATATTTTGTTTCATATTGGACCTTTTATCTCTGACCTCCTTGGTGGGTGTGTGTGTGTGTGTGTGTGTGTGTGTGTGTGTGTATATATATATATGTGTGTATATATATACATATATATACACACATATATATATATATATATATGTATGTATGTATGTATGTATAATAGTGAGATCACAGAATCAAAGAGAATGGACAGTTTAGTCACTCCTGGCCCAGGATTTATTTACCAAACAACAAAGACCTCACTCGGACTTCATTTGGGGATCTAAGACACAAACAGATGCCTGAGGCTCCTGAGGAATTTATTGTTACTACTTTGAAATCCTTCTTTATACAACACAACTCTTTGTTGTGTCTGTCCTTCCCCTCAGAATAACCATTTCTTATCTTTTTTCATTTGAGACCTTGAGCTGTTACTAAGCTCCTCTGGCCTTATCCTTTGGAGTCCAAATAGCCTGTGTCTGTGGGTGATGGATGGATGAGGCCAGAACAAAGAAGGTGCAGATTTCCCACCAGATAGTTTATCCCTAGGAGGAGGAGATTCGAAGTTGTCTTGGGGCCATCTGTGTTCTTTGATATTCAGGAGATAAACAAATAGGAAAGAAGGTTTTCACTGTTAGAATGGGTGTAAGGAGGGAGATTGGGGCCAACCAAGGAGACATGCAGAATTGATGAGAACAGGCCACAGTGGCAGGTCTAGGTATCCATCTTGTTATCTGGCTCTTCCCCCTAAGCCAGGGTAGCATGTGAATAAGAGAAATTTCTTAAGACCTTTTTGGTGAAATCAAAAGGCCTCTCTGGCTGAGAACTGATTCTTGCTTCTTTCCACAGATGGGGCCCTGAGACTAGCTGGCGGAAAGGGCAGTCACGAGGGACGGTTGGAAATACATTACCGTGGCCGGTGGGGAACCATTTGTGATGACGGGTGGACAGAGAAGAACACCCTGGTGGCTTGTCGGCATCTGGGATTTAAGTAAGAGTCCTTCTTACCATGTAGCAGAACTCCTGGTGACCTGAGTGTACTAGCTGCTGAAACTCCCGACCCTTCATTACGTCACGTCATGTCCACTCTAGGTCATTTCTTCGGTAGTACCCCCAACCAGAGTGCTGGTTTGGAGGAAGAGCTCTGGGTTCAGATCCTGAGTCCCCCTGCTGCTTACTACCTGGGTCATCTTGGGCAGGTCACTTCTCTCTCCAGGCCTCAGGCTTTTCCTCTGTATAAATAAGGCTATTGGACTGATTGATCCATAAGGAGGGGCCTCCCATCTCCAAGTCCAGGATCTGGAGAAGAAGAAGAGCAGGAGAACAAGCACATCCACAAGGAGAACTTTTCCTCTCTCTCATCCTCTCCTTCCCCACATTGATCATAAGAAGACCTCTGTAATTGCCAGGAGCTGCAGGCCACATTGAGGCCCCTTCCTGGCTTTTCAAGTCCCTTCTGGGGTAGCTGATGTGACTGGCAGAGTTTATTCTAGAAGAGCATCTCCTGTGTGTGGTCCTTGACCACTAGGGCAGTCCTGACGTCACAGGCCAGAGCTAGAGAAGAGGGCAGAGTTCACCACCTAGCTATGACATCATCCTTGGCCTCAGAATTGGATGACAAGGGTCACTTTTGGCTCAGGACAATAGTCCTCCTTGTCATGGACAGGACCTCCAGACTTCCCCCTTAGCTTCCCAGTCTGGAAGTCTGAAAGCCATCAGTCATGGTTCTGTGGGAAGTGTTTCATGGCTCACACATACCAAATTCCTGAATGGCGGCTGTGGGCTATGAGTCAAATGCATTTGTCTCTTGCTTCTCTCTATCTCCCTGCCTCATGCTTGAAAGATAAATAAGATAAAGATGATAATTTTTTTCAAAGACAACCATTTAAAATGTTATCTCAATAAGTGTACTCAAAGCAGTGGCTTGTTAAGTCGTTTTTCAGTTGTGTTCAACTCTCCATCACTCCATTTGGAGTGTTCTTGGCCAAGAGCCTGGAGTGGTTGGCCATTTCCTTCTCCAGCTCATTTTACAGATGAGGAAACTGAGGCAAACAGAGTGAAGTGACATGCTCAGGGTCACACCACTAGTAAGTGCCTGGGGCCGGATTTGAACTCATGAAGATGTCTTTCTGATTCCTTTAACATAAAAGACTGAAAAGTTGTACAAATCCACTGTCATTCAGGCAGAGAATAAACATTGTTGCTACACAACATTTCAGTTTTTGAAGCCACCTTCCCTGGTACACTCTGAGCAATGAACACATCTTTCCCTGGGCTCAGATAGCAGATACGTGGTAAGCAGACCTGCATGTTCTTTACCTTCCATGTGAAGCGTTTCCTGAGCCCTCCACTGCTCTTCCTCCCAAATTGCCTTGTGTCTAGGGCCATCACCAATAGACTTGACTCTTGTCTTGCCACTGGACTCCGCTGACTCGGGAGGAGAGAGTGAGGCTGATGACTTTGCATAGCTCTGCCTCACTTAAACCCGATCTACCCACAAGTTAGCATCACCTCATAAAGTCATTGGCCCTCTTTGAGAAAGAAGGACAAATGATATTTAATCTTTACAGAGTGGACTTGGAACGAGGTTTGAATCCTGCTTCATATCCTGTCTAGCTGTATGACCATCCCAAGGTCATTTCACATCTCTTACTCTGTTTTCTCATCTGTAAAATGGGAATCTTAATGCCCTGAGCAATTATTTCACATGATCTTTGTGGGAATCAGATAAAAATATCTGTAAATGCCTTGGAAACCATAGAGCACCATGGGAACAGCAGTTGTTATTTTCTTTGTTATAAAGTCAGTAGGACTTCCTTATTTCCCAGTTATCCCACTGTCTGGACCAGGACCATCTTGGAAGGCTGGTCAGCAACAGCTGTGCTCACTCCCTTGAGTCACATGCCTTTTTCCTTATCGGGGATTTCATGAACGGGAGATGACTTTTTCCAGTTCAGATCAACAGGCTAAAATCCTAAACACTGTTGATTTTTCTTTTTAATGTTGAGGATAATGTATGGACAAATGAGGATTGACACCATGTATCAAACGGAAAAAAGGTATCTAGAGAGACCATGAAGAGGAAGAGGGCTCAGCTATCTCCAATGGGAATTACCTAGTTCACTGTTGATAATTCAGGGACCAGAGAGAAGCATGGGAGTAGATTACTCCAAACATGGATTTTTCCCATTAGAAGATGGGGAGTAATTTTTAGCCTTAATTAAAATGCCTATTTGTTATTCCCATGAGAAATCATAGTCACTTCAACATAACATTATTCACTTTGCAACTGCGGTGACTGTGTGAGGTAGGGAGGTGGGAAGTAGTTGCTCTGGTCCACATGGAGCAGTCCAGACACATGTGCAGAATAATCTGAAGACACTGCAATGATAATAATATTAATAGCAATAACAATAGCTTGTATTTTCATAGTTCTTAAAGGCTTGCAAGGCATTTTACAGGTTCTCTTATTTTTTTATCTCATTTAATATTTTTACTGGCTCTTATCTCATTCAATAGCTTATAGCTGCAGCAGGGTAGAAATCTGCCAGCATGCTGAGTCAATATTTAAAGACTAATTTGAGGTTTATCTCTTATTCCTTTGTGTTTTTCTGGCAGAAGAAGCAAGATTGGGATCTAGATGTCGCCCAAACTTGAGAAAGGAAAAAGGGGACTTTTCATAATCTACAAAGTGCTTTATCTACTTCCCAAATGACAGATTATTAATATAAGACTGTATGATAGATATTCTGGGGAGTTCCTTCTTCTTAGGTTTCTGTTTCCTGATTGGAAGAGGAAGAGGATGAATATTTAACCCATCTGAGTAACATGAAATTTAATTAATACTCATTAATGTTTGGGGTTTAGAAAAGTTATAAAAAATAGTCTTACTTCCTTATCCCAGGTATGGCAAACAGGCCTCTGGTCGCCATTTTGAAGAAAGCCGGGGCCTCATCTGGTTGGATGATGTCAGCTGTTCAGGAAAGGAGACAGCTTTCCTTCAGTGCTCCAGAGGAAAGTGGGGAGAGCATGACTGTAGTCACCAAGAGGACATTCACATTACTTGCCATCCAGACAACGATATGAACAGATTTTCTCTGGGTATGTTAGCTCCTTTCCCTCTGACCATCGGGGTTCCCTTTGCCTTGGACCTCAATGAGTTCCTAGCCTGACTTCTTACTTCCAGTATAATGTCATTACCAACTCCCATGCCTCATGTTAAGGATTAAATAATTGTTTCTGTCCAGAAGAGTAGGAACTGTAAATCCTGACACCAGGGCTAAGCCCCACTAAGGAGAATCATAGCAATTCACTTTTTAAAAACTTAATTTTATCCTTTTCTAAATAATAAGCATTTATTTTCTCTCCCTACCCCAAATTAAACAAAAAAAGAAAGAACATCCTTGTAACAAGAGTATGTATTCCCATATTGTCCATATCTACGAATGTGTCCCATTCTGCACACTAGTCCATCACCTCTGTCCGCAGACGGGTGCCATTCTTTGTCATCATCCCCCTGGAATCATGGTGTTTGCATTGGTCAGAGTTCCTAAGTCTTTCAAAATTGCTCATGTTTGGTGGTATTGTAGTCTAAATTATTCTCCTGGTTCTGTTGACTTCCCTCGGTATCAGTTCATACAAGTCTTCCTCGTTTTCACTGAAACTGTCCCCTTCATCACTTCTTACAGCACAGTCATGTTCCATCACATTCATATACCTTAATTTGTTCAGTCAGCAATTCGTTTTTTAAAAGACAAATTCCACTGCAGCAGGACAGAGATCTTGGACCTCAAGACAAAAGGTTCCATGAGAGTCAAGACACAGCCCCAGGATGAAGCTTTTCATGTCTCAATTCATCAGTCAATAGCATTTAATAAGGCCCAGGTACTTTACTAAGAGCTGGGGGTGCAAAGAGAAAAGGGAGATGGTCCTTGACCTCAAAGGAGATATTAAGGGAGAAAAAAGGCACATTTACAAGCACAGAGAACATTTTTACAAAATAAATAATCATTTTGGGGGGAGGGGGAGGCATGACATGTCGATAAGATCAGGAAAAGCTTTCCATAGAAAGAAGGTGGCTTGAAAACTATTTGAGATGCTGTGGAGGTAGAAATGGAAGACTTGGCAAACGTCTGGCTAATGTGGAGTGAGGAACTGAGGTCGACTCTGACACTGTGAACCTAGTGCCTGGAAGTATGGCCGTGCACTAACGTAGGGAAATTCAGAATAGAAGTAGATTTGGGGCATGTTGTATCTGAAATGACGATGGGACATCCATAGAATGGGTGATAGGCAGTTGGTGCAGCAAGACTGCAGCTCAGGAAAGTGACTGGGGCTGGAGGTAGAGATCGGCGAGTCATGTGCATCAGGATGATAATCAATCCCATGGAAGCTGACGCTGACACTGAGAGAGAGGATGTAGAGAGAGAAGAGAAGAGGGCCCAGGACAGAGCCTTCACTTGAAGCAGTGTCAGGAAGTGAGCCCTCTCCAGGGAGGAGAGAAATACAGCCGTAGACTCTGTAGAGGCCCACTGAAAGCTACACCTCGGGGGACTTTATGAAGACCCCACGAAGGGAGAAAAGGGTGTCTAATTATCCAAAATTAGTCTAAGCACAGCCCACTTTTCCCTGGATTCTCATGCAGTTGTGGGAGAGTACAAACCCCTGGTTTGAGGGTTGCTTGGTACCAACTATAACCACTTAGCAAATCTCCCTTTGTAAAAGCTAGTAGATATCAATTGACTGATTGGGACTGGGAGGATGTTAACCACTTAATTGGTATTAGGGAGCACACCCTATCAGGGACTGCACTCAAAACTACCCTGCTCCTCAAGGTTTTCCCCAGGTCCCTGAGAGGAGCAGCAGCCAGCCATCCTCTTAGAGGGCCCACCCTGGCCACACAAGGCAGGAGAGGGAAGTAGTCCAGGGGAAGTATGCTACACAGTATCTTAAGGAAAAGTAGGATCTATTGATTTTTTTTTTTTAAGATGGAAGAGACCTGGTCATGTTTGTAGGCAGCAGGGAAGGAATCCATAGATAAGGAGATATTGGAGAGATATAGATTATGGAGGGGGGGAAGATATTGGAGAGACAGAAACTGGAGAGAAACAGACTAGAGAAAAAGAAAGAAATTGGAGAGAAAGACTAGAGAGATACAGAAGGACAGCTATGTGGCGCAGTGGATAGAGCATTGGCCCTGGAGTCAGAAGGACCTGAGTTCAAATCCAGCCTGAGACACATAAAACTCACTAGCTGTATGACTCTGGGCAAGTCACTTAACCCAGTCGCCTCACCAGAAAAAAAAAGACAGATACAGAGAAAGACACAGAGACTCCTTTTGAAGCCTACTGAGTGAACAACATTCTTGGTTCAACAGCCAGCTTCTCTGGTGCAGCTTTGGGGCAGCAGCCTTCCCCACCACCACCTGTACCTGTTGTTTGCTGGGGTGGGAGAAACCAAGGGACCATGCAGAGTTCTCTATCATCCCAAAGCACTAACCCCTACAGTGCTGAACCACACATGTCCCCAGTAGCTGCAAGTGGAGCTTCAGGCTCTGAGAGTATACTCCAACCCAACTCTGAATAAAACTGACTGATTGGTGAAAGGTAGGTTGGAATCTGATTATGGAGGAGCCTAAAGATCAGAGGGGGAGTTCCTCTTTTGTCCTAAGGAAACAAGGAAGAGTCAAGTTTTTGCGTAAGAGAGGGCTGTGCCTTGGCAAGGTTGCATTGGCAGCAGTGTGGAAGGTGGAGTAGAGTGAAGGGACAGAGTAGAGAGGCTCAGAAAACTGGCATATGAAATGGAACAGGTGAGAAGCAATGAGGTCTTGAGATTAGCTGTACCCTATTTTCAAATGATGGAACCGAAAATGTCTTTACTTTGTCTTCCCTAATGTAAGCTCCTCATATGTTAAAGCCAAAAGTCATGAAGCATCCTTAGACATACATTTCAGCCTTTCAGATTTACCAGAGTATAGTTTTCCATATATAAGGGGCAGCTAAATGGTGCAGTCAATAGAGTACTGGCCCTGGAGTCAGGAAGATCTGAGTTCAAATCTGGACTCAGACGCTTACTAGTTGTATGACCCTGGGCAAGTCACTTAACCCGGTTTGCCTCAGTTTCCTCATCTGTAAAATGAGCTGGAGAAGGAAATGGTGAACTGCTCTAGTACCTCTGCCAAGAAAACAAACCCCAAGGGGTTATGAAGAGTCAGACATAACTTAAAAAATGATTTTAAAAAACTGTTTAGTTTTTCATACTCTGAGATGTAAAGCTCTAATCAGTTACAGAACGTGAGAGTAGGAAGCGATCTCAGCGGGCCAAATATAGAAATTCCCTTTGTGACTGCCTGGATGGGCACTCACATAGGCTTTGTTTAAATGCTTCCATTAGGGAGGAAGCCACTGCTTTCCAAGGCAGGTCACGCCGCTTTTGTAGACCTGCATTTCTGAGATGTTTTCCTGACGTCACCCTCAAATATGCCTCTTTGACAGCATTTCCACGGCTCTCACTTCTTACCTCTTGGGCCAAGCCAAACAAGACAGATTCTTCCTCCACATGGCAGCCCTTCACGTCCTGGAACACGGCTCTCATGGCTCCCATCCCACCCCTATCCCATGTCTTTTCTCCTCCAGGCTCAACACCCCCAGTTACTTCAAACGATTCTCATAAGAAATATATTTCTGACCTTTCACCTGCCAGGCATCCTCCTACAGATGCCCTCCATCTTGCTTTTGTTCTGCCCAAAATGTGGCTCCCAGAACAGAAGGCAATCCTCCAATGTCATCCTGACCAGGGCAGCATATAATTAAATTCTCACTTTCCTCAGCCAACAGGGCTTCCTAATTTTTTTTTTGTGTCATGGATCCCTTTAGCCATCCAGTGAAATCTATAGACCCCTTACCTTCTCAGAATGATAGTTTTAAATGTATAAAATAAAACACCCCCGTCTAGACACTACACCTTTCTACGCAAACTAGAACAACCAAATTGCTGTTATGAATCCCATACCAACCAGCTTCTGTGACACTTATTAACTCAGATCAGTGCCTTACATTAGGATGCAGCAGCGTGCAAGGCCCCTCAGTGGATTCTTGGTGAGGTTTAGATTGGACTGGGTGGCCCCTGGAGGCTAGGCCAGTTCTGAGATCTGAGCATCCTAAAATAAGCCCAGGCAAGTAGGTTTGAGTCAGATTGGGCATATTTGTCCAGAAACAATGCCAAATGGGTGCAAAAATAGGCAGCTGACATATCATCAAGATGTTATGATTCCTTGTGCATGTTTTCCCAATCAAGGAGGGATCAGTACCAGATAAAAGCCCTAAAGGGCAACATATGATGATCTAAGAATGAATTTCAGCTACAATTGTTTTGTCTGTGAGGATGCATTTCTTGTCTCACCTCCTGCAAATTGTTACAAAATTTCAGAAAGTGTTAGTTTGGAATATTTATTTTTCCAATATATGTGACAGTGCCCATGTATATGAGGAAACAGAATTGTTAGATTTTCCCAGAAGGGAGTGGGGTGATGATGGGTGTAATGATTATATTCCCTACCTAAATTCAATTCAGCGCTCATTTACTAATCACCTCCTTTGTACAAGGCCCTGTGCATGGTGCTGGAGATACAAAGACAAAAATGGAATTGTCCCTGAGCACAAGGAAGTTGCCATTCCATTGTGGGAGACTCCATGCGCACAGATTACAGCATCCCAGGACACTGGAGGAGACAGTAAACATTAGTGACAGAGGACTGGGGAAGCTCCATGAGGAGCTGAGCCTTGGAGCTATGGGAATGAGGAAGAATGGCATGTCACCCAAGAGAAGTTCAAAGGCCCAGAGAGGATGTTTCAAGTTTGGGGAATAGCTACTATACACTTTTGTGCACACAATGCTCTGCATACAGTGGGGGCTTAACAAACGTTTGTTGACTTGACTGTGGGATATGATCACCCACTCCCCAAGAAAATATTGCCTGGGTAAGAATATAGCAATTTAGTTTTAAAAGAGTGCTTGGTACAGCACAGCCTCTTCTGTTTAGGGTCCAGTTTTGGCCCTCATTCCTCTGGGGCTTATTTCAGGTCTCCCTATCAGGCTGATGGATGGAGAGAACAAGAAAGAAGGACGAGTGGAGATCTTTGTCAACGGGCAGTGGGGAACCATCTGTGATGATGGATGGACTGATAAAGACGCAGTTGTGGTTTGTCGGCAGCTCGGCTACAGGTAAGGGACCTCCTTGTGAATGTTCACATGTCCTCACTTTTCTGTCTGCAGCTAAGGCCCTCTCCTCACTACCTCCCAAGGCGGCTCATTACACCGTGGGCAGCTCCAATGGTCATCAGGACAAGCTCTCCGTCAAGCCGAGATCCGCCCCCATCTGTTGCTCCTAATTCTGGCCTCTAAGGCCAAGTAAAACAAGACTCATCCCTTTTCCACATAATGGCCCTTCAAATGCTTGAAGACAACTGCCACATCCAATCTAAAGCTCCCTACTTCTTTTAACCGATCCTCATATGGCACGGTCTCCACTCCTCTCACCATCCTGGTCACCCTCCTCTGGTCATGCTTTTACCTGGTCTATATGCTTCTTGGAATATAGTGCCCACCTTCCTGATCTGCCCTGCTCGGGCAAAACAAAAGACAACTACCCAGAACCAAGTAGATTCATAATCAAACACTCAACGAATGATTGATTCCAACAGTACATAAGCTGTTTCCAAAAATAGGAGAAGATGGAATCCTACTGAATTCCTTCTATTATACAAATACGGTCTTGATACCTAAACCAGGGAGGGTCAGAACAGAAAAAGAAAACTATGGACTAATACCCTTAATGAATATCAATGCAAAAATTTTAAATTAAATATTAACCAAAGCAGAAGCCAAAGAGAAAACAGGCATTTGCCCGATCCTTCTGACAATTACACTAACATATTTGCTCAATCCAGAAAAAGGCATCACTAAAACCCAGCATGTGAGAATTTCATGTCCGATCTCAAGATCTAATGAAAGATAATGTTTCATCTTGCTGTCAGGCTGAGTGGGGCTTTAAGCTTCCCTGTTGTCTGAATGTTTGATAATTCCCCCCAAATCAAAGGGCTTTTATCTGTAGCTTTACCTTCTGATTTCCTCTTCCAGATGTATTAGTGAGAATCTTCTTTCTTTCATGACGTGACCTACACAATGTGATCCCAAGACAGAAGTCAGATTGTACCTCAAAGATCCTTTCTTAGGCTACTTAAGTGGAAAATTATGGACAGATCACCAAGAAAACAATGGGGGGGGAGGAAAAATGGGTCTGGAGAAGTTTATTCTGGACATTTTGTCCTTTAAACAAGTGTTTTCTTTCTTTTCAAACAATATTTTATGAATGTTTACCTACTGAGCTTTGATTTCTATACATAGTCTCAAATCAAGGGAAAGAGGTTTTTTTTACAGGTTTGTGTTATTTTTTAAACAGTTTTAATGAATATTTCCGTTCTTAGGGATTTGTGATATCATTGTGTGAGTACTTCCATCACTGACTCAGAGCACAGTCCTTTCCTCCTCTGCCTTTGTAGATAAGCTTTAAGAGTTGAAGTGTCAAAACCAAACCCACCACTTGGCCCTTCTGGTGAGTCTGCCCATTTTGGGGAGGCTTCTCCTGGGAAGACAGGCACACAGATCATCAGCAGAGCCATTTGGGGGAGGAGGGGCCACTAATTTATTTTATGAACATGGGAAGAGGTAATACAATAGTGGGGCAGAGAACAGCAGGACAGAAGAGGGAAGTTCACTGGATATAGTGGCCAGGGCCTGGTGCTCCTGAAGAAGCAGAAATTGATTTTCAGTTTAGGCTCCTTCTCTTTCATGGGACAGTGGGAGAGGGGCCTCACAGGAGTTGCTCAGTTAATGATTTTCTCCCACTTGGAGGTGGAGGAGAAGGGCAATGCTTCTGAGGATGCTCAGGTTGGCTAACTGATCATTGTTCCTCTCAGAACAACAAGTATGGGGACCTACTCATGGTGGCATCTCTTCGAAGAAGGAGCCAGGAAGCTAGAATGCCTGGGGTCTGGGCATCTTCCCACATGTCACCCAGAGGGAGGATGCCCACAGGAAGTTCACATACCTGCTTCCTTACTCTCTTCTTTCCTTTCCTGCATCTTTCTCCCAGAATTCTCTATAAAAACTTTCCCCAGCAGTCCCACTTTCAACATGTCACAGGCCAGTGGCTGTTGGGTGGCATCTCCAAGGCAGCTTTGGGCTACATAATAATGATAGCCAACATGAATACAGTGCATAAAGGTTTGCAAAGTGCTTTACACATATAGAGGGTGTCCCAAAAGTATTAGTGTAGTCAAGCTTACCAGATTTTTGGAATACTCTCTACATTACCACAGAGGGTTCTACATCTCTTGATCTTGCCCACAAGGAGAGCCCAAGAGACTTTTCAGTATTAATGCAATACAGGTCCAGTATAGAAATTTATTTCCTCTGGGGTTTCTTGAAAACACATTGAATCGTAGATTGGAGCAGGAAGGAATCTTAGTGACCATCAATTCCAAAATCCTTCTTTTGCCAATGAGGAAACAGAGGCCCAGAGAGGTCAGGTGACTTGCCCAGAGTCATATAGGTAGCAAAGGACAAGTCTGGGGCATGGAGCCAGCAGAGCCATGCTGCAAAACTTGTGCCTGGCAGGAACTTCCAGAGCTTTTGCTCAACTACCTTTGGCTTTGAGAACCCAAGACCACCTCCACACGTTGGTGAAGTATTGGAGGAGGGGGTTAGAATTAAGCTAATTGAAAAATAAGCTTCTAGGGGCAGCTGGATGGCACAGTGGATAGAGCACTGGTCCTGGATTCAGGAGAACCTGAGTTCAAATCTGGCCTCAGACACATAACACTTACTAGCTGTGTGACCCTGGGCAAGTCACTTAACCATTGCGTAGCCAAAAAAAAAAAGAAAAAAAGAAAAATAAGCTTCTTTCACCATATTAGAAAATAAGTATTGTAGCGAATGTTCTATTCTATATTTATGGTACAGTGGAAAGGTCCTTGGAACTGGGGTTAGAGGACTTTTTTCAAATCACTTCACCTCTCAACTTACAGCTTCCATCTGTAAAATATGGTGGTTGGACTAGATGACCCCAAATGTACTTCGTAGTTCTAAATCTATGTTCGAGCAGCTAGGTGGCACAGTGGATAGAGCACCGGCCCTGGAGTCAGGAGGACCCAAGTTCAAATCTGGCCTCAAACCAAACACTTGACACTTACTAGCTATGTGACCCTGGGCAAGTCACTTACCCCCAAATGCCTAATAACTAACTAAATAAATAAAGATAAATCTATGTCCCTATAGGCAGTGAGGTGGCATGGTGGATAGAGTGCTGGGCCCACAGTCAGGAAAACTCATCTTCCTGAGTTCAAATCTGGCTTCAGACACTTACCAGCTATGCGACCTGAGCAAGGATCATAGTAGCATGTACCTCCCAGGGTTGTAACAACAACAACGATGATGATGATGATGATGATGATGATGATGATAATAATAATAATGAATGTTTATATAGTGTTTACTAGGTGCCAGGCACTGTGCTAAGCACTTACAAATATCTCATTTGATCCTCACAACAATCCTGAGAGGTCGGCACTATTATTATCCCTGTTTTACAGATGAGGAAATTAATCTTTTAGACTCCTTGGAACTTTTCCCTTATGTCCCTACACCAGGTACCTCTCCCCACTTCCTTTTTATGTCTTCCTCCATTAGACTGCAAGCTCCTTGAGGACAGGGACTATCTTTTTTTCACACGTGTATCCTTAGTGCTTAGCACAATGCATGACACATAGTAGCTGCTCAATAAATGTTTATCACCTAACACTGACAACTAAAGGAAAGTTGTAGAGGGCTTCATTTTCAATGACCCCATGGATGTCCCCTTCTCCACTATCCTCTCACTCAAGATTTTGAAATTTAACATAGATATTTACATCTATTTAAGTTCTGTCTTTTTTGGCACAAAAGTAACTTGTAGGCGAATACAAGAAAAGGGTTATCAGGGTTGCACCACTTTGGCTTTGGACAACAATAGTCGTCATGACGCAGCCTGCTCTGTTCAAGCTAATTAGACAAGTACATTGTTATCATTCCCTCTCTTATTTACCTAATAATAAGTTTTTCAGTAGAACTTTGTTTGGGTTTAACCTGGACTTGTGATCTTATTTTAAAAAAATTATTTATTTTAAAATTTTTAGTGTGTGTGTGTGTGTGTGCGTGTGTATGTGATCTCATTTTTTGTAGGGAATTCCCTGTGTGGAAAGTTTCTACCTGAATGCACGTGAGGGACTCATTTGTATGTCATAGACCAAGAGAGTTAGGCTATTTGTCCAGGGCCCCATAGCCACTGTATATGAGACGAAGGGCTTGAAACTGGAATCAGGAATCTTCTAGAAAAATACATTATTTTAGTAGGCATCTGCACTGGCTGAAATCATGAAGAAGATGATAGAGAAGTAATGAATTATGAAACGAAAATAACTCACAAAGTAGGGCTGGTTCTAGATGAGTGGTTGATGTATTAGGGAAGGATGCATGTCCTTTCCCGAATCCAGAAGAGCTCACCGTGGGGATGCTGCTGTGTTTGCAGGGGTCCTGCCAGAGCCAGAACCATGGCTTATTTCGGGGAAGGGAAAGGGCCGATCCACGCGGACAACGTGAAGTGCACAGGGAGCGAGCGAAACCTCGCCGACTGCATCAAACAAGACATCGGGAGGCACAACTGTCGCCACAGTGAGGACGCCGGGGTGATCTGCGACTATTTTGTCAAAAAAGCATCAGGGTCCAGTAATAAGGGTGAGCGTCCTTCCCCGAGGCATGGGGGAGGTTGGGGACTCGACTGGGGGTTTCACGGCCACAGGGACTTCCTGGGCAGAGCGTCAGCTCTTTGGTCTTCTGGAGTTGCCCAGAGCTCTCAGGCAGCTGATGCGCGTCAGAGGCAGGTCTGACCACAGCATATGTCCGTAAGTAAAGGTCAGCAGGAAGAGAAACGGGGCCATTTGTGGCAAAATGTTAACCTCCTCAGTGGAGTAAAGCAGAGGAAGGAGAGCCAGACCACATTAAAATGGCATTGGGAACATTTAACGAAATAAATAAAAATTCAATCCAACATAAATAATGACAATTTGTGGTTTTCTAAGTCAAATATGTGATTCACAGGGCTCTATTTAGGTGGCACGCCAGTGCTGTAAAGGACAACCTTAGTGCAGTAGAAAGAGCGCTGGGCCTGGAGTCAAGAAGACCTGAGTTCAAATCCTGCCTCAGACACTTACTGGCTGTGTGGCCCTAGAAAAGCCACTTAACCTCTGACTGCCTCAGTTTCTTCATCTGTAAAAATGGGGATAATAATAGTACCCACTTCCCAGGGTTGTTGCAATGATCAAATTAGATAACATATGTGAAGCACTTTGTAAACCTTGAAGTGCTAAATGCTAATTATTACTATTATTATTACTAATTATTAAAAAAAGAGGTCAGCTGGTTACGTAGGTTTGAGCCTCTCATTACCATTGCTCTTTCCATTTATATCATTGATTCTGGTTTTGTTGTTCTGGGTGTTCAATCATTTTAGTTGTGCCCAGCTCTTCATGGCCCCATTGGGGTTTTCTTGGCAGAGATACTGGAATGGCTTGCCATTTCCTTCTCCAGCTCATTTGACAGATGAGGAAACTGAGGCAAACAGAGTTAAGTGACTTGACCAAGGTCACACAGCTATTAAGTGTCTGAGGTCGGATTTGAACTCGGATCTTCTTGACTCCAGGCTCAGCGCTCTAGCTACTGTGTCGCCTAGCTGCCCTTTGCATCAGTTCATATGAATCTTCTCCTGTTCCTTTGTCTTCATCATCTTCATCATTTCTTGGAGCATGGTAACATTCCATTCCACTGTGGACCACTGTTTGTTTCGCCCTTCCCCAGCTGATGGGCATCTGCTTTGTTTCCAGTTCTATGCTGTCGCAGAAAGGGCCACTCCAATATTTTGGTGTCTTTAGGGCCTTTCTTTGTGTCCTTGGCTGCCCCGTTATGTGCCTAGCAGTGAGAGCTCTGGGACAAGGCTGTGGCCGTTTGGGTCTCTCTTGGTACCTGGTTCTCTTTGTTTGCAGGTGACTCTCCTTCCGCTGACCTCTTTTGGCATTACTTCACAAGTCTACGGCATTTCTTGGTGTCCTTCATGTTTTTTTCATTTTGATGGCAAGTGACTTCCTCTAAGAGTGAATTATTTTTGGCTTGATTCTTGACGTATCCTTTACCCCTCCATTACCTCCATCATAAAATAAACTTCTCAGCCCGACGTTGGAGTCCTCCAAAGTCTGGCTCCAGACCACCCCTTTCCTGCCTTAGTTCACATTACTTTCTTTTGTATTCTCTCCATTTCTACCAAACTGTACTGTTAACTGTTCTGTGACGTTGGCATCCCCTCTGTCAACTCTGTGTTCACATAGGCTGTGCTGTGCCTGGCATGCCCCTCCTCCCAGAAACCTCTTCTTCCTTTAGAGTGGAGCTCAGCTGCTCTTTCCTTCCCCAGATTGCCTTGGGTTAATTTCTCTGTGGCCATGACATGAAGGCTCGTTCTGATGCTGTCCTTGGCGTTTGTGTAGGGGCAGGGGGCAGGGGGCTGAGGACCTCCTATTCATTCTGCTCCCTCATTGCCCTGGAAGAGAAAAGGCCATATTCTACCAGTGGGGACACCTAGATACCTTTTCTATATTTGGGTTTAGCTTGTTCTGTATAAATTTCATCATAAGGAAAAACAAGCTCACATTTTGAGCCTTCTAAGACGTATGACATATAAAAAGTTCAAGAAACATAGTTTCTAGGTAATTAATCATTTTATTAATCATGCTAGCATATAATTAAAAAAAGGGGTAAGTGACATTCTCAAATGGCAAAGACCCCTCATGGAATCCGCTCGATGTTCATATGCCTGTGGAAGAGTGGATGTTCCTGTTTACCTATCAGATCTATGGAGAACAGAAGAATTCATGACCAAACAGGAGATAGAGAACATTATGAAAAGCAAAATGGATAATTTTGAAAAGTTTTTGCACAAACAAAGCCAATGCAAGTAAGATTAGAAGGAAGGTAGAAAATTGGGAAAGAATTTTTACAACCAGTCTTTCTGAAAAAGGCTTCATTTCTAAAATATATAGAGAATTAAGACAAATTTATAAGAACACAAGCCATTCCCCAATTGATAAATGGTCAAAGGATATGAACAGACAGTTCTCAGATGAAGAAATTAAAGCCATCTATAGTCATAGGAAAAAATGCTCTAAATCGCTATCGATTAGAGAAATGCAAATCAAAACAATTCTGAGGTACCACATCACACCTATCAGATTGGCCAACATGACAAAACAGGAAAATGATCAATGTTGGAGAGGATGTGGGAAAATTGGAACGCTAATGCATTGTTGGTGGAGTTGTGAAATGATCCAACCATTTTGGAGAACAATTTGGAACTATGCCCAAAGGGCTACAAAAATGTGCATACCCTTTGATCCAGCAATAGCACTTCTAGGGCTATATCCCAAAGAGATCAAACAAGTGGGAAAAGGACCCACATGTACAAAAATATACATAGCAGCTCTTTTTGTGGTGGCAAAGTATTGGAAATTGAGAGGATGCCCATCAACTGGGGAATGGCTGAGCAAGTTGTGGTATATGAATGTAATGGGATACTATTGTGCTATAAGAAATGATGAACAGGCCGACTTCACAAAAACCTGGAAAGACCTATATGGTCTGATGCTGAGTGAAGTGAGCAGAACCAAGAGGATTTTGTGCACAATAACAGCCACATTATACAATGACTAATATTGTTAAACTGAGCCCTTCTCAGCATTACAAGGATCTAAGACATCTCCAGAGGCCTCAGGATGGAAAATGCTGTCCACATCCAAAGAAAGAACTATGGAAGTCGAATCGCTATCACTTATTTTTACCTTCTGTTGAGTTTTGTTTCATCTTTCTGATGGTTCCTCCTATTGGTTTTAATTTTTACTTAAAACTTCACTAATGTGAAAAAAAAAAAGAGTGGATGTTCCTGAGAGTGGCAGTCACCTCTGACTGGTTAACAAGTAATGAGAGAAAATGAATATTGTAATGAGAGATGGACCCATTCTAATGATAATATGGGGGGCATGACTTTGATCATGTTATTTACTTCCAAATCATCCCCAGCTTTGAGCAATCTAGACAAAGGATCTCCCCCCCTGCCCAAACCTGCCTGAGTGGAACACAATGGGCCAGATCACCTTAGATTTAATTCTTTATAAGGCTTCCTAGTTGGGTGAGGCAACAATTCCACCTAGGTAAGATAGTCTAGGTGGGGTGATTTGGGGGAAAGGTCAGGGATCTCCCCAATAATTTGTTACTTAATAATCATTTTTCTCAGAAGGATGCCAATACTACCATCATTAATAGTTAATAGTACCATTAGCATCCTCTTTCTGTGTTTTTCAATCAGAGTTGAAAACTTAAGAAGTAGCATCATGAAAATTTCCCTTGTATTACTGTAGCTCTGGGCTCAGAACACACAGGTTCAAGTCCCACTTTTGATGCTTACTGCCTATGTGACCTTGAACAAGTAACTTTCCACCCTTGGCCTCAGCATCCTCACCTGTAACATGGCCAGCTCTAGATCTGGGGTCCCATGTTTGGGTGCCCCCTCCACTGGTACGGATCACCCTGCATCCTTTTGTACTTTCTCATCCTGTGGGATCCTTGTCCTTCTCTTCCTTCCACCTTCCACCTCCACATCTTTGTCTTACAGCAATAATCTCATGTCCTATTTGACTGAAAAATCTGAGGTCTTCCAGGGAGGAGAGAGGAGAGGCAGGCTGACCATTCTTCATTCCACTTCCACTTCTGCTTCTGCCTCTCCAGACTTTGGTAGGCATTTCTCCCTATCCTCCAGTCTTCAGCTCCATTTTCTGTATTGTTTCCCCTCTTATAATGCAAGCTCCTTGAGGTCAGGGACTATCTTTCTTTTTTTGAAAATGTGTATGTTTTATTTTTCCCAATTACAGGTAAAACCAAATTTTTACTTTTAACTTTTTTTTAAATTTTGAATTCTAAATTCTCTCTCTCCCACCCTCCTCTCCTTCTTCCTTGAGAGGGCAAGCAATTTGATATAGGTTATACATTTGCAATTATACAAAATATATTTCCATATTAGCCATGTTGTAAAAGAAAACACACACATAAAAAGAAAAATAGACAAAAATTTTAAAGTATGCTTCAATCTGCATTCAAACTCTGTCAGTTCTTTCTCTGGAGGTAGACAGCATTTTTCCTCATAAGTCTTTCAGAACTGTCTTGGATCACTGTGTTGCTGAGAATAGCTAAGTCATTCACAGTTGATCGTCATACAGTATTGCTGCCACTGTGTACAATGTTCTCCTGGTTCTGCTCATTTCACTTTGCTCCCCAGTAAATCCATCTCAGCAGATGGGCTAAACCAGGCTGAAGATAGCCTCAAGCCCATCAGTGAGTTAGGGGGATGGCTACCCCAAGCACATGAAGAGTTCCTCTGGTGGAATGGGTAGATGAGAACAATTTGGTCCAGTGGCCATGAAGGTAGCTGAAGCAGGCATTGTAAAGGGCTTAGAGCTTGGTCAGGCATCAAAGATGCCTGGGTCATCCGCTGCAGCCTGGGCCATCATCAGTCATCTCGGCTTTTACCTTTATCTTACCACTGGGCTTGGATGACTGGAAGAGAAAGTGAGGCTGACCACCTCACTCACAAGTCAAGACATCACCCTGCAATGTTGTTGCCCCTCTTTGAAAATGGACGAATGATAACTTCACTTTGCATCAGTTCATACAAGTCTTCCCAGGCTTTTCTGAAAGCATCCTGCTCACCATTTCTTATAGCATGATAGTATTCCATTACATTCATATACCACGACTTGCTCAGCCATTCCCCAATGGATGGGCATCCCCTCAACGTCCAATTCTTTGCCACCACAGAAAGAGTGGCTATGAATATTTTTGTACTCGTGGGTCTTTTTCCTTTGTTTACATCCCTGGCAGTACTATCTTTCTTTTTGCTTGTGTCGGTAACCCCCACTCTTAGCGCTGGAGATGCTTGGTGCCTTGCTGTTCATTCCCCTTAGAACTGCTCTGCCTCACCACCAAACTCAGGCTCTAGAGAAGAGGTGGATGTTCTCCTCAAGGCTAAGCCCTCTCTCTGTACTCTTGATCTCATCCCCACCCGATTATTCCAGGAGCCAGCTCCAAAGGTCGTTCTTGCCTCTCTTATCTTCGGAATCTCCATGTCTCCTCGATCTTTCCCTGCTGCCCACAAACATGCTGCCCATCCTTCAAAAACTTCACTCAGCTCTAGCTCTTTCCCTCAGTTTATCCTCCCATCTTCCTTCCCTTTTACTGATAAACTCCTCAAAAATAGTCTCTATCACAGTCCCCCACCCCCGCTCACCTCTCCCCCACATGCAATTTAGCTTTGGACTCTATGACTCAACTGAACCTGCTCTCTCTGAGGTCACCAACAATCCCTTAACTCATCCTCAGCCTCTGTAGCTTCTGACGCTCTCAGCTACCCCCTGTTCCTAGACATCTTCCCTTGGTTTTTGCAACACTCTTCTTCCCTACTTCTCCTCCACCCGGTCATCCTTAATTTCCTTTGCTGGGAATTCCTTCCCCTAAGCACGGCTCACCCCCAAGGCTCTGGTCATGCATGGTAGGGTCATGGATAGAGAGTGGGAAAGGAGCTCAGGTGCCATCTTGGCCCACTCTCTCATCTCACAGATGAGGAACTTGAGGCCAGTGGGCCATATTCTCTCTTTGTATGCTTTGTTTCCTTGGAAATTTTATCTTTCCCTAAGGTTGATAGTCAACAAGAATTTATTAAGTATTCTCTATGTTCTAGGCGCTGTGCTAAGTGCTGGGTATGCAGAAGAAGTATAATAATAACAGCAATAACAAAAATAACAAAAACTGATATTTATATAGTACCTACTGTATTCCAGACACTGTGCTAAGTGCTGGATATACAGAGGTATAGGGGCAAAAACACAGCCCATAACCCTCAAGGAACTCACTTTCAAATGAGGAAGATAGCTTGCTGACAACCTAGCACATAAAATACATACACACACACACACACACACACACACACACACATATACATAATGTATATATGTATACACACACACACATATACATAATGTGTGTATATATATGTACACACACACACACATATACACAGCAAACAGGAGGGAATCTCCAGGGGAAGGGGCTGGGCCCGAGTGGGGAGAGGGAGTCTGGGAAAGGCCACTTCCAGAAGGCAAGATTTGAGCTGAGTCATGAAGCTGCATCACAGATTTACAGCTGGATGGAACCTTAGAGGTCACGTAATCCCTTCATTTTGAAGTCTGAGGAAACGGAGGCTTAGAGAGGTCATACAGGTGGAGAGGAACAGGCCGGAATGTGAAGCCAAGGTCTAAGATCACAGGGTTATAGATTCAGTCATGAAAGACCTTGGATGTCATTTCACCTACCCTTCTCATTTTACGGATGGGAAAACTGAGGCCCAGTGAGGCAAAGAGACTTGCCCAAGGTTGCATGGGTAATAACTATCATTTACATGGTGCGTTCCATGACAGAGTCAGGTTCAAACCTGACTTCTCTGACTCCACATCCATGGCTCTTTCTGTTCCCAAGCTGCAACCTCACCCTCCACCCAGGCAGATAGCTGCCAGATCTATCTATTTATCTAGTCCTAGTTTCTCTCCAGAACTCGAATCCCACATCCCTTCTGCTTGCTGGAGATTTGCAGCTGTGCCTGGAATCTGTCATGTCCAAGACTGAACTCATCATCTGGCTTGTCTTAAAACTGCCCTTCCCCCAACCTCCCTCCTTCTCCTGAGGGCCACCCAGTCCTCCATGTCACGGTCATCAGCCAGATTCTTTGACATAGATGCTGGCTCTCTTCTTGACATTCTTACAGTTAATGTCCTCTTTCAGGCCCTCATCCTCACTCCCCCAATTGTTTTCCCTGCCTCCATTGTCTCTCCTTAATTCATCCTCCTGGCAGCATGACCTCTAAAGTCCCTTCCAGCTCAAGACTGCTGATACGCAATCCCACTAAGTGAATACCCTCCCCTGTGCCTGGAACGCAGGCTTTCCTCACCCCTGACTCTCAGATTCCTGAAAAAGGCTCAGGTTGAGCCTGAGTCCCCCGAGCCTTTCCTGGTCCTCCCTACTCTTAGGGCTCCCTCCTTCCTCAAATGACCTTGCATTTTACTAATCTGTGCTCCTCATACCACTTTCCCTCTTCCTCCTCCCTACCAAGCAGATTGTAAACTCCTTTAGGTCTTGGCTTAGTTGCCCCAGGCCTAGCACACTTTGTACATAGTAGGCTCTTAATAACTGATTGTGGAATTGAATTGAATGACCCCTTTCTCACCTCCCACTGAATCACTACTAAAACCTCTCTCCTGAGCTTTCCTGACTTGAGGTTGTACCCACTCCAGTCAGTCCTCATATTCTCACAATTAACAATACTTCTATCATGCTATTCCCCTGATGAAAGCCTTTTGCTCAGGATCTCTGACCACAAAGCCAGCACCCTTTCTCTAGAAAGAACCCAAGAAGGGGAAGATATTGCTAGAGAGAGCATATTGGCCAGAGCAGTCTCTAGAGGCTTTACTTAGTTCCCTCAGGGTTGGGAAGGAGGAGGCGGCTAGGAGAAGTACAAAGCATGTTGGCTGACTTAGAAAAATGCAGGCACTTTAGATAAGAGGAAAAGTCCTTTTTTTCAAGGAAAGATCCAGTCTAGCTTGTGGTTTTAAATGGGTGGGAACATGCATGTCCCTGGTTTGTGGTCCCTCCAGCAGTAATACGAGAGTTTAATGAATGGCCTATTTTTACTCTAGGTTCCCTTTCATCTGTTTGTGGTGTGAGGTTACTCCACGGAAGGCAGAAGAGGATCATTGGTGGGAGAAACTCTTTACGGTAAAATGATACTCAACAGAGGAATTGTCCTTAGGGGCCAGTTAAAAAAAATACTCTCATAGGGTTACACATTGCCCTCATCTCTCCAGTTAGATTCTATTTCTACCTTAGCCATTGTGTCTTCCATGTTAGACATAAAGAAAGGAGCCATGGCTGCATTGATGGTTAATGAACTGTGTGGCTCTGGGCTTCCTCCCATCAGGGAGTGCCAGGACCCTGGGCTCTCCAGGGCTTGCCCTTGTCAGTGCTAGCTTCTTTCCCTCCTGGAAAGATTTGGGGTGTGGCTGGGCAATAGATTTCATCTGCCATCCCAGTATCAACCCCACTAAGTCTGGCCAAACCAGTCTCTACGTTGGTCTCAGGGTGATACTGTGTTTGACCACAGGTATTCTTGACAACCATCTGTGAAGTCATAGAATGATAGATCAAGGACTGGAAGGGATCATTTTGCAGATGTGGAAACTGAGACCCAGGGAGGTGAATGATTTGCCCAAGGATACACAGGGAGCAAGCATCAGAGGCGAGATTTGAACTCAGGTCCTCTGCCTCCAGGGTCAATGTTCTTTCGCCTGTACTATGCTTTCTGCCTAGAATAGAGGGAAGGGTTGTGATTTGAATCAGTGAAGGGAACATCCCCTCCAGTGAAATCATGGATTTTCATGTTTAAGTGTTGTGGCATGGAGAGGAACAACCTATGTTTCTCTAGTCCTGAAAGTTCACAGCTTGTTTTTCTCACAACAGCCCTATGAGGTATCATTAGAGAGGGGGCAGTGATTTGTCAAAGGTCGAGTTACCAAGTGAGTGGCTGGGATTTGTAGCCAGGTCTTCTGACTGCAGGCTCAGGGGTTTCTCCACTTCTGTACCAGTATCCCTTGATTTCTGAAATGAAGAGTTTCCAAAACCAATGTGACAGGACCAAGGTGACGTAGCAGTGGACATCCACGATCTGTCACTGCTTGGGCTCGAATAGCAAATAATGCATGGCCAAGCTCCTTCCTTTCTGAAGTCCTCAGTCCACTCCCTGTGAAATGAGGATATCAGTCCTTTTATTCCAGGGCTGCTCTGAGAGAAAGACTCTGTGAAGTGGGAGCCTCTCCAGAAATGGACACCCTTCTAATGGGGAGATTTGGAGAGGTGCAGCTTCCTCGCAGTGAGAGGTACCCGTCTTCTGTCAGATTGCTTATTCAGGCTTAGGCGAGGGGGAAAAGTAGAGAAAGGGCAACTTTGTAGAATACTATGAAACTTGAGAGCGGATTAAATGTGTTTTTCCAGTGGGCTGGAGGAAGCGGGGAGGACGGAGCCTGTAAGCAGATCTCAGGGGCTGCTGATGGGTGACATTGTCAGGTTGGCAGCATCAAGGGGATTAAGTCATGTCCCAAACCCCATGCTCCAGCCCCGGGGCCAGACACCTCCGAGACATTCCAGCCACTTTTTGGCCCTCTGCTCCTGACCCCTCCCCCCTTTCTGTATTATTCGGTAAATGGCACAAACAGACACGCTTGGCATCTCTGCTCCTCAGTGGCGGCTGGCCCTGGCAGGCGGCCCTGCGGCTGAAGCTATCCCACGGAGACCGCAGACTCCTTTGTGGGGCCACACTCATCAGCAGCTGCTGGGTGCTCACCGCAGCTCATTGTTTCAAGAGGTGAGTATCCCTGTTGTCTAACTAACAGAACAATAATAATACTGGTAATACAGAGTGGGATGCACACAACATTATATACTAGGACTGCAGAACTGTAAGTGGGAATAATACCCCAAAAGACACCAAACTCTGAGTAACTGTAATGATCAGTGTCCCCATCTTGGCATAGTGGTGGGGACAATGGGGCAGAATTGTATATACAGTGTCAAAAGTTGTTACCGGATTAGTGGTTTTTGCTTACTTTACCTTCTGATAAGGGAGCATATAAGGTTAACAAAAGGTTATTATCAATAGAACATCTTTAACGTAGTAACACTGAACAGTCATTTATAGTGTCATACTGAACTGCATAACAACCTGGGAGGCAAGTTCTACAGGTATTATACCTCCATTTTACAGATGAGGAAACTGAGGCTCATTGAGGCTCAGTGACTTGCCCCTGTCACACAGTGACCAAGCTGGAGGCAGGGTCTGAACCTTTGCCCACCTGCCTCCCACTCCAGCATTTGGTCCGCCATGCCAGGCTCCCCTTAGCATCCTGATATCCTTGCATGGTCTCAGACCCCTTGTTTTTGCGGTCATTTTCCCTTTCCAGGGGGCCAGACAATGAGTCATGGTCTAGTTAGAGGCCTCTGGACTCGTTGTCATGGAGGATGATGACAGGCGGATGGTGATAGGCGGAGGTCAGCCTCCTGAGGAGGCTGCTGATGCTAATGATGCACCTAGCCAGGGCTGGGGTCTTCTGGGAAGTAAGAATGAACAGGAATGTGGAGGGAATGAGCACTGAGAGATGTCTCCTCCTCAAACAAGGATGGAAGGCACCCAACAAGGGCCAGCCTAGGCCCTTGCAAATCTGATCGATTTAAACGGACGAGGGCGGAGGAAGAAAGCTGCCCACACCGCTGTGCTTACAGATGGTATCTCATAATGCCACAGAGAGTAGCAGGTACACTAGTAGAGAGAGAGTCTCCAAAGAGACAAGCAGAAATTCACGGGGGACAAGAGCCAAGAAGAGCTCCCCCAAGATGGGCCGTAGCTATAGGAAATTAAACCACCTACGAGCACGAAGTTATGGGAGATCCAAGTCAAGGACTCTCCCTGACCATATCACGGCCCCACTCCCCATGCAGTCAATGTCAGTGGCTGCCTGTCACTTCCAAATTCCCGTTTGGTTTTTAAACCTCTTCCTCACCATCTGGCCCATGTTCCCTCTGCAGTCTTCTTCCACATTCTCTCTGTCCAGTGGTCTGGCCTCCTCTACTCCTAAGTCCACAGGCCGTCACCTCCACGAGCCACCTCCCAGATCTGAAATTCTCTCTCCTCATTTTAGCCTCGTGGTTCCCCTGGCTTTCTCCCAGTCTCAGCTAACATCCCACCTAGTGTCCCCCTCAGTTCTAGTGCCTTCCCTTTGAAATGACTTCCAGTTCACCCTCTACATCTCTAGATCGAGTATGTCTCTTTCCATCTGGTCTCCCCCATTCGATCGTGAGCTCAGTGAGGGCAGGGAGGTTTTGCCTTTCTTGGTGTGCCCAGCTCTCGGCAGAGCACTTGGTATAGTAGGCACTTAGTAAGTGATTATTTGTTTGACTTAAGGAGGCAAATTCAAATTTATAGTTCTATCACTGAGACTCGAAATGAGTCTAGTAACTAGAATGTTTATAGAACAAATATCATATCTAAAAGGAACAGGGTTGATTTTTAAGGGGGTAGGTGGAGAAAATAGAGCAAGAAGGTCAGAAGACAGATTCCTATGAGGAATTCCAAGAATCTGGGAGAGAAACATGACAGAATACATTTGGGGGAGGATCAGTGGAGGAAGACAGAGAGGATTTTGCTCGGGGAGTTTGCTATGGACCACTTGGATAGGATGAGCAAATAAACAAGGGATTCTGGAGACAGATCACAAACCTGGCACGGAGGGCTAATATCTGACTTCTGGAGGCCTGGGTTCTCTGGACAGCTGCGAGAGCTCTCTCTCTCCCCAAAACTGAGCAACAAATCAACTTTTAATTTGCCTCAATAATATAATTCTTCAAAAGATGGAGGAAGCAACGAGGGGAGCTTCTTGTGTGAACCTGATGATACAAAGTGGACCTAGAGGCTGAAGCAGAAAGAATAGGCACCCCGAATGGCCCCTGCCCCACTCCCTTGGGATAGAGATAGGATAGAGAAGGGGTAGAGGAGAGGAAAGCCAGTCAGAGTCTGGGATATGCCCTAGGATTGTGGAAAGCAGATTTCAAAGGGCTCAAGGGAAGAAGAGAGGATCCCAGGGCTGAAAACTGGACAGGAGAATCCAGTCTGAGAGGGATGGGGAACTCAAGAACAAAACGAGACATTTATAGACAATGAAACCAAGGGCATGAAATGGAGGACAAATACACTATTCTTGGAAGAACGGCATCAGAGATGGTGAAGCTCAGGAAAGCCAGGCACAGCAAAACCTTTCTTTTCAGCTTTGCCGGAGAAGGATCGATGACCACAGCTTGGGCTGGATGAGATGATGACAGACGACCAAGAGTAGGCAAAGGAATCAACTTTTGCACGAGTTCCTTTGGTTTCCTCTGCCAAGGAAAAAGACTTTTAGACTGGAAAGATCAGAAAATCATGTGCTTGACAAGGAATTGAAACCCAGCTGCCTTTAGGGAGCCCAGGTTACTGAAGGAACTGATGGCTGTGATTTCTGAGCAATCACTATCAAGGATCTCAAGATTGTGGAGAGCAAGAGAGGTGCCATGGGTCTTAGGAAGGACAAATTTCCCATTTTCCAAAACAGGAAAGAGTCTAGAATCTATAGAGATCAGTGCACTTCCCTTTTATTTCCAGCAAAATGTTAGAGTATTAAATTATTAATAGCGAGTATTAAAGTATTAAATATTGACAATTAACTCTATGTCGATTATTAAAGGGGACAGTTATGTGCATTCAAAAGGGAAACAGCCCGGGTGGCAGCATCATGACTTCATGCAGACTAACTTCATTTTTGTTTGCTGTCAGAGTTATTAGCCTAGCAGATTCAGGAGGATTCTGTGGATAGAGTTTACCCAGGTTTCAGCAAAGCATCTGAACAAATTTCTCCTGTTATGCTTGTGGGAAAAGATGGCAAGACAATAGCACAGTAAAGTGGATTCAGAAACAATTGGATGACCAGACTCAAGGAGCAGCTAAGTGGATGTTGTCCTGGAAGTAAGTCTCTAGTAAAGGACGTCAGGGATCTTTCTTTGATGCCGCATTGTTTAAGATTTTTATGGGATGAAGATACATATGACACGCTTGTGAAATCTACAGGTGGCATAAGCCTGGGGGAAGATTGCCAATGTAACGCATGAGAGAGCCAGGATCCAAATGACCTTACTAGGCCAGAATAATATGCCGGTTTTAAAATTACAGGCTTAATAATATTTATTCATTTATTGTTTATTAATTTATATTTACTAATTAACCCATTGCTCATTACTTCCATACTCCTGTAATACCAATGAAGCACTTGCAGTTTCACTGAGATGGGTAATCTCTCCACAAAAACAGACCATTGGGTTCAGAATTGGAAGAGACCTCGGATCTCCTCTAGTCCCAAGTGAGACTCATTCTACAAGTGAGAAAAAACCGAGGCCCAGAAAAGGGGCCTCCTTGCCCTGCACACGTAGCAACGCAGACGCTGGTGTGTGCACATTCACAAGTGGCTTCATGAGTTTCTGCAGCAAATGTTCCGGTTGTCCCCAGAGTTACTGAGATAGAGTGCCATAGCTGGGGTAGCCTTTCCAGGGCTGGCTGAGCCTTGCCGCCATGCTGGCAACGTTTTTGGTGACTCAGTGTCACCTTCATGCCGCCATTGGAGGACGGCTCTATTGGAGCGTCTGAAACACATCGTTCAGATTAACATATCAGGTATGCGTGCACCTTCCTGATGCCAATCATGTGCAGGTCAATGTCTCTTTTATATTCTAGGTAAGATGATTAAAATACTGATTGGAAAGATGACAAGCAGATACTCATATTCAGTAAAGAGTTACTGGGTCCTTAAATGTGATCCAAGATTCTTTTAATAAACTCTGAGGAAAGGAAGATTGTCCTTGGGATATGTCCCACTGGTTTTGAAGCCTGTCTCAGGTTTCATGTGACTTCCTGTTTTGTAATTTCTAAGGAGTAGGTCAAGACCTATTATGAATAGGAAAGTTGTAAGAGTCCTAGGACAGGCTGCCCACAAAAAGTGAAGCCAGCATTGTGTTTTCTTGGGTAGTATGGGCTCTGGGCTCACTCTCCCAACTTCTCCTTCCATTGATGGTCTAGGGTCCCAGAGTCTACTGACTGACCACTTCTCCCCTCCAGGATCTAGGGAAAACCTGGAGGAACTGAGGGTGGTTTGCTCAAGAGTCCCCTTTCCTATGGGTATGCTGCCCATTGATTATCAGTTGATATCAATTAACTGGCCAAATTTAGTTAGCTTTTAGAAACAGATATTTACTAAAGTACTATAGTAAGAACAATTGGTATAAAACATCCCTCTAAAATGAGGACACACTTCCCCACAAGGATATTTGGAGTCCAAGGGAAAGTGGGCTCAAGTTGAGGGAGAAGATGTGACAAAAGTGTAATTCATGGTTCTTGGCTGCTGGAAGACCCTCTGTCCTTTGTGGAGCCTTCATAAAGTCCCCCTCAGTCATAGAGTGGGTTTTTTTTTTTATTTTGCCAGTGTGGACAACATTAGCACACTAAATTGCTATCTAAAGTCACCAAGACATTTAATTCAACAGATATTCATTTGTGTGGTTGGCATTTATTTAAAATAACGCAGGGATTGTATGTGTATTTGGTTTTCTTTAGTTAGCTGCACTGAAGACATGGTCACAGTAACACCACAGAAATCCGGAATATTTTTTTTTTCACTCATCACTCTACTTGAAAGCAAAAGGCAAGTTAGTTATAGGATCATAGGTTTAAAGCTAGAAGGTCCCTAGAAACTATGTGGTCCAAGCCTCTTATTTTATAGATGAAGAAACTGA